TTCCCATGGCAAGGAGATATTCAGCCACTGAGTGTCAGTATTACAGCAGTTCAGCCACGTCATCTGGATCTTTGGTGACTACTTTAAATGGTAATTGCTCGGTCATGCAACAATGTACTGATCATTTTTTCACACAAATAAAGCTTTCAAAGGTGGTATTTATTCACCCAGGTTTTTTTTTAATTGTTTGCTGTATGAAATAAAAACTTCCATAAGTTTCTGTTATAAAATATTGTAAAGAAATAATATTTCTTCATATATTTAGGCCAAAATGTATTTTGCTACATTTCTTTGGTAAAAAATAACTCAAATCGCTGTATATTATTTAGTCCAGCCTTTCTCAAGCAGGGTGCCCAGGCACCCTGGGGTGCTCGAGGTTTCTTCAGGGGTGCCTTGGCAAAATGTCTAAAACTTGCCCAAAACTTGTATACAAGTCAGCGGATGGAGATCAGGACTTCACTGCCTGGGACCTGGAAACTAGTGAAGATCACTGGAGTAGTGGTGCCTACTACACCAGAATTCTCAACCAGGGTGCCTTGAGGTTTCTTCAGGGGTGTGTCTTGGCAAATTAGCCAGCGGGTGGAACAAGCCATTTAGTTACACAAAGCCACAGGTTTCCATTGTGCACCATTATGACCCTCTAGCCGCCGGCGTCCTGACAAACATGACATCATCAGTTGATAAGGAGGATGTCAGCTGCTTGCACAGCATCCTAGTTTGACCCTCCCCCGCCCCTCTCCATCAGTGCTGGGGTCACATTAGCTCAGTGATGGAGAAAAAATGAGGGAGAAGAGAAACATTGGAATACTAGTCAGTACCAGTGTGCAAAAGTGTATTTGCTTTGGAACAATAAATCGCCTCCAATGTTAGGTGTCCTACATGTGTGGATGTTGCTGCGTTCTTTAAAACTATTAGAATAGTTTTTCACATTGTAGAATTTGGTGCCCTTTTAAAATTATGGACAGTCTTGAAGCACCCCATTTTAGAATGGGGTGCTCAAGACTGTTCATAATTTTAAAGGGTGCCTTGGGACTGTCCATAATTTGAAAGGGTGCCTGACTTAAAAAAGGTTGAGAAACACTGATTTAGTCTGTAGGAAAGTTAGAGAGTCTACAAATGATGGGATATATACAGTATTTGAAAATTAACCAATCCTGATGTACCCCTGGTTTACATCTGTACGGCCGTGCGGGCCGCAATTTCCTTTGGCACTAAAGCCCATTCATGTGAATGGACTCCTGTGCCCCAGGACACGCAGGGAAGAAGTCCCTGCACTACTTGGGAAATCGCAGCGTGCATAGGAACCGAGGTTCCCAGTACGGTTCAGATTTCCAGTGTGGGCGGCATGCCATTAGAACTAATGGCACCCGCCCGCGGGTCCCGCATTCCTCTGTGTGGGTGGTGCGGCTGCAGGTATTTGTGGGGGTCCTGCATTCCTCTGTGCGGGTGGTGCAGCTGCAGGTATTTGTGTGGGTGCCGCATTCCTCTGTGTGGGTGGTGCGGCTGCAGGTATTTGTGGGGGTCCTGCATTCCTCTGTGTGTGTGGTGCGGCTGCAGGTATTTGTGCGGGTCCCGCATTCCTCTGTGTGGGTGGTGCGGCTGCAGGTATTTGTGGGGGTCCTGCATTCCTCTGTGCGGGTGGTGCGGCTGCAGGTATTTGTGCGGGTGCCGCATTCCTCTGTGTGGGTGGTGCGACTGCAGGTATTTGTGGGGGTCTCGCATTCCTCTGTGTGGGTGGTGCTGTTGCAGGTATTTGTGTGGGTCCCGCAGCGGCTGCAGGTATTTGTGTGGGTCCCCCATTCCTCTGTGTGGGTGGTACAACTGCAGGTATTTGTGCGGGTCCCACATTCCTTCAGTAGTTATGCACCAAAGGGATAATTAGAGGTGATTCTACCAAAATGTTTCTTGTGTCTTCCTAGGAGACCCATGTAGCATTAGGTCTTGTATTAAAATATGCATCACTAGAGGGATCACCAGCAGGAGGAAGGAGGTCCTGATTCCTCTATATAGATCTTTATATCACTAGAGGGATCACCGGCAGGAGGAAGGAGGTCCTGATTCCTCTATATAGATCTTTATATCACTAGAGGGATCACCGGCAGGAGGAAGGAGGTCCTAATTCCTCTATATAGATCTTTATATCACTAGAGGGGTCACCGGCAGGAGGAAGGAGGTCCTAATTCCTCTATATAGATCTTTATATCACTAGAGGGGTCACCGGCAGGAGGAAGGAGGTCCTGATTCCTCTATATAGATCTTTATATCACTGGAGGGATCACCAGGAGGAGGCAAGAAGTCCCAATTCCTCTATATAGATCTTTATATCACTAGAGGGGTCACCGGCAGGAGGAAGGAGGTCCCGATTCCTCTATATAGATCTTTATATCACTGGAGGGATCACCAGCCGGAGGAAGGAGGTCCTGATTCCTCTATATAGATCTTTAATCAGGCCTAATTTAGAATACTGTATCCAGTTCTGAAGGCCTTATTTAGAAAGAGATATTAATAAGATAATGCAAGTTTAGAGGCAAATGGTAAAAGGGTACAACATTACAGGAGAAACCGCAGGAACTTAATCTGTAAATATTGAGCAGCAATTCTACACCAGGGTTTTGTGGAACCCTAGCCTTTCCCCAGAGGTTGCTTGGGATTCCTTCAGCTGTGAATGATTAACCTCCTATTTGATGATGTCTGCATAGTTAGGGGACCATTGCCACCTGGAATAGTCAGCTGCTGGACACCAATTATATTTTTAGTTGTCTGTAAAGGTGTCTGTAATGGAACCGACCCAGACTGCGCTTGAGTACTTCTGTTTAGAATACCTCTTCCCTGTCTGAACACAGATAACAGACACCACAACCATACAAGACTAGACGACACCAGTCTTGAAGTAAACCAGGAGGTAGACTACTTTATTTGAACACAGATACAAGATATATACATTCAGGGGACAATCCCCGGTCCCTGCATAATGACACAGGGCAGGGAAATCTACATTTAGTAACAAGAGACACACAGGTATTCAAACTTCACACCAGCAGACAGTCCCATCAGGAGGGAGGGCTGCTGGAGACACCCCCCCCACTAAGCTAATACACATAAACACATACATCCCATAATAGTTTGCTCCCAAGCAAGACAAACAATGGGATGCAGCCACGTGACATTAAACAATCAACAACCCCCCACCCCCCAATATTAGCACAGATCACCCTGTACCCCTAACAGGCACAGGGTGATTTACACATAAGAGGGATATGGGGAGCTGAGACAGGGGTCTTCCCACCTCTACAAAGTGAGCTGGGTTCCATGGGCCCCCCCACCCAAAGTGACTCCTGTCACATATCTCCCCTTTCGGCCGGGGGCTAACACAGGAGGAGACCCCAGACGAATTGTCTCTGAAGTTAGTCTGTACTTCCAGTTCCCCAATGCCAGCACCCACACAGTACCCCAAGCAAATTGTGCCACACAAAGCATTACTCACCCAGCCAACCTCTGCCTCTCTCGTAGAACATATCCGCCGCTGGGGAGAAGTACGGACCGGTCCTTCACCCTGATGTCCTCACATCCCCCAGTGTTCGCAAAGTAAGGCTGACATCCTCCTGTCCCAATGCCAGACCCTTTTCTGGGGTTATGTCAGTGGAGACCGAAGTCCCATCCATGGAGCTTTTATATTTTCCCAAACCATTGGGTATTATAATGTGTTTATGTGCACTAAAGTTCATTTCATTTTTTTTTCCCTGCAAATTTGCATTTCATAAACAGCGGTGCAAATAACATGTGACATAAAAAATTGCAGCCACCATGTTATTCTCCAGGGACTCTGCTTTCAGAAAATATATGAAAATTGTGAAAAATGGGAAAATTGACTCGGGTAGCAGGTGGTTAACCTCTCTAGTGGTATTCCTGAGTGTAGCTCGGGGTAAAATGTCAGTACCAAAAGCAGTAACCCCGAGCTACACTCGGGCTTACCATGCGGCGCTGCATAGGGAGTCCCTGCAGAGCTTACCTTGTCCTTCACTCCTTCAATGCGTCCCCTGCAGCGTCCCTGGCCATCTCCTCCGGCCGATGCCGGCATCCGGCTTCCGTGTTCCTGTCCCTGTGATGTACAGGCGCTGGCGGGCAGCGGGAAATTTGAAAATTTTAAAAAAAAATTCATTTTTTTCCAAACAAATTTTACATAGTATAACATTCCTGTATCAAACCATTTCACATACATTGTGTCCCGAGTGCTTTGTCCGGCCCCCTGCCTGCATTTTTACAGTTTTTTCTGCCTGGAAACTGAGAAACGTCCATGGCGTCCAAAAAGCGTCCCTTTAGGTCAAAAGCGGTTTTAGACCGGCTGGAGAACAGCGATAGTAAATCAGAACCACTTGCAGAATTGAGTGATAATGATTGGTGGGGGAAATTCCTCATCAGACACTGAAAACGATTCTGCGACTTTGCTCAGCGATGTGCGAACTTGCCGCTCTATTTCACATTTCAGTGTTTTCGGTTTGATTATATTATTGAATTAAATGTATTATTATTATATTATTATTTTTTATGATTATTTGTTAAATTATAATTTATGATTTTGTGTTTCAAATTTTATCATACCCGGGATGTTTACTAGACTCTTGTTTGGACAGATTTTAGTGAGTTATTCCTAAAAATTACAGACCTACAATAAAAAAACTACATATTTCCATGCAAAATAATGGTACCACTTTCAGCACCAAAAATCTGAAATAATCAGACCGCTAGGGAGGTTAAAGAGATAAAACATAGAGAAACTGGCATGTATTGCAGAGATGTACCACATATACGTTTTGTTTTGCCTTGGCATATGTTTTAATGATTTTTTTTTCACTCTATGCTGGATAAAATGTTGGTGTTTTCAATATGCCTGGAGCTCCAGATTAAAAAATATTTGATCTTATGGTTATGCCTCCTAATATCTTGTCAAAATAATGGGAAGTAACCTCTAAAATACTCAACTGTTGCTGTCTTTCCCACAGCTGATCTGACTCCACTGAGAGTGACGGTAACCGTCAGCATCAACCAAGACGCCCATTTAGAGGCCAAAGTGATAAAGCCATCAAATGCAGATATTATGTGGAAATATAATGGTAAGGATAGGAGGAGGGGCTAATGTGAATCTATATATTGGCAAGAATATGGTGGAACCCAGAAAAATGTTAGTATTGCTCAGGGCTGATGTTATAAATATACTTGTATAATATGTATTTAAGTAGTTATCAATGAGTCCATTAGGTATTTGTAGGACGCCTTGTTCTTCTGTTCCCCCCCTTATTGCTGTAACAAAACAGACTATCAAGCATCAGGATATCAGATGACATAGAAAGATACAAAGCGTTGTTTATAAACATTGATCAGACAGGAGAAAGAGAGCTACAATGTAACATTGTTTATAAACATTGATCAAACAGGAGAAAGAGAGATACAAAGTAACATTGTATATAAAACATTGATCAGACAGGAGAAAGAGAGCTACAATGTAACATTGTTTATAAACATTGATCAGACAGGAGAAAGAGAGATACAAAGTAACATTGTATATAAACATTGATCAGACAGGAGAAAGAGAGATACAAAGTAACATTGTATATAAACATTGATCAGACAGGAGAAAGAGAGATACAAAGTAACAATGTATATAAACATTGATCAGACAGGAGAAATAGAGCTACAATGTAACATTGTTTATAAACATTGATCAGACTGGGGAGATAGAGAGATGCAAAGTAACATTGTTTATAAACATTGATCAGACTAGGGAGATAGAGAGATACAAAGTAACAATGTTTATAAACATTGATCAGATGGAGATACAGAGATACAAAGTAACATTGTTTATAAACATTGATCAGACTGGAGATAGAAAGATACAAAGTAACATTGTTTATAAACATTGATCAGACTGGAGATAGAAAGATACAAAGTAACAATGCTATAAACATTGATCAGACAAGAGATATAGAGATACAAAGTAACATTGTTTATAAACATTGATCAGAGGACATATAGAGATACAAAATAACATTGTTACTTTTGTATAAACTCTGTTTTCTTCATCTGCATATCAAAGGGATGAGCTTCTGCCTGCATACTATATAGCAGGGGTCTCCAAACTACGGCCCTCCAGGTGTCGAGGAACTGCAAGTCCCATGAGGCCGTGCAAGACTTTGACAACCACAGGCAAAGCTCCCAGAGGCAGTGGCCTGATGGGACTTGTAGTACTTCAACAGCTGGAGGGCCATAGTTTGGAGACCCCTGTATATAGTGTCTGTTAAAGTAACCTGATATGTAAAAATATAATTATTATTTTTTTTTTTACTATTTAACTCCTTATTAATCTTGGTTTTGCCCAAATCAGTCCATATTAACTTATTTTCCCTTTCTCCCCCTTAAAGAAGAAATAAAGGCAAAACTTTATATCTTCATTTTGGAGAGGGAGTAAGGGAGGGTTGTAACCCTTGTCAGCTTTCCAATTTTTTTTTGCCATTTGTGACTCATTAGGGAGATTTCCCTTGACTTCCCCTCCCATAGCCAAAACAGGAAGTGAAAAGAAATCCCTCCAAAGTGAGGGAAATCCATGGTTGTTCTCAGAATTAGTGTCCCTATTTGGAGATTTCCCCTCTTTTCCTGTTCTGTTGACAACCCAAAATTTGGGATTTTAATTCACTTTTACTATTGGTAGTAATGGTAAACATGACAAATAGAGAGGGTGAATCTCCCAAACGGGGGCTCAGGGAGCGATAAAAACCCAACAGGTGTTCTAGTCTCTCTTCACTCTATAAAAAAAGCATCTTTAATTGCACTTTAACTCAAATTTTTCTGCTTTTTTTTTTTTTCTAACCATTCATATTTAATTTTTTGGTGTAAATTTAAACAAAACATATTATAGAATACAATTTACACTTTTTTTTTATCTACAGTGACCATATTTATTTTAAACTAACAAAGTAGAAAAGGTTAGTTTTTGTTATGTTTTTGTCTATAGATAACATAAAAATGTAAATAATTTTTGAAAGATAATATCAGACAATAAAAAGTATTTTGTGTGTTAAATAATATATGTATAGCTTTGTCATCTTATGCAATGGAAACGTTATTGCCAATTAAACAGCCTCTAACAGAAATGTAAAAAATTGCTCTGGTCTATAGGAGGTGTACAGGGGTGAGAGCTGAAGGAGGTAACATCATGTAGGAATATTTAGATTGAAAAGGAATTCTTCTCTCAATGTTTGCATGCTGCTGATCTTTACACTGGACTTCTGGAGGCAGCAATTGGTTCTCTGTAGTCAGCAGTCCACGCGGTGGTCCTGTGTAGTCAAGGCTCCCGGTGGCTGATCTTCAGGATTTAACTCTCCCAGCGGTTGTTTCTCTATAGTCAGCACTCCCAGCAGTTGGTCCTCCAGAGTCAGTATTTCTAGTGGTTGAGCCTCTGGAGTCAGCACTCCCAGTGGTTGGTCCTCTAGAGTCAGCGTTTTCTAGGCCCTCTGGTGTCAGTGCTCCCAGCAGTTGGTCTTCTAGAGTCAGAGCTTCCAGAGGTTGGTCCTCCAGAGTCAGTTAGTGGTGGTTGAGTCTCAGGAGTCAGCGTTCTTAGAGGTAGGTCCTCTGGAGTCAGTGCTCCCAGCAGTTGGTCCTCTAGAGTCAGAGCTTGGTCCTACAGAGTCAGTTGGTGGTGGTTGAGAGAGTCAGGGTTGGTCATCCAGAGTCAGTTGGTGGTTAGGAGTTAGCATTCTTAGCGGTAGGTCCTCTGGAGTCAGTGCTCCCAGCAGTTGGTCCTCTAGAGTCAGAGCTTCCAGAGGTTGGTCCTCCAGAGTCAGTGTTCCTGTTGGCTGAGCCTTTGGAGTTATCAAGTCAGCGCTCCCAGCGGATTGTGCTCTAGAGTCAGCACTTCCAGCAGTTGGTTCTCTAGAGTCAGCTCTCCCAGTGAATGATCCTCTGGAAGCAACACTGACTCTAGAGAACCAGCTTCTTGAGTTGGTACTTGAAGGTGGTTGGTCCTCTAGAGTCAGTGCTTCCAGCAGCTGGTTCTCTAAAGTCAGCACTCCCAGTAGTTTATCTTCTGGAAGCAGAGCTTCTATTGGTTGGTCCTCTGGACACAGCAATTCCAGCAGTTGGTCCTCTGGAGTCAGGGCTCCCAACAGTTGGACTTCTGGAGTTAAGGCTCCCAACAGTTGGTCCTCTGGAGTCAGTGCTCCAAGTGGTTGGTCCTCTAGAGTCAATGATTTTTGCTAACACACATTAACACTTCCATTGTAGGAACGTTTTTCCAGACCACCTACAAGAACGAGATCAGTGACATGATCGCTCGACTTACTCTCCAAAATGTGCAGCTGAGTCAAGCGGGGGTGTACAGTGGCGGGTTTACAGGAGCGACACCCTTGGCCAACGCCTTCTTCAGACTTATCGTACGAGGTCAGCAATAAAGACTGTCATTCCTGTGTACACTGAGCCCCCAGATTTCTACTTTTCTGATATTCTTTTACCTTCTTCTTCCTCTCGTGATGCAGGGTGCCCAGAGAACAAGTGGGGTCTGTCTTGCCAGAAGGATTGCCTTGAGTGCTTAAATGGTGGTGTGTGTCATGACATCAGTGGAGAGTGTATTTGTGCCCCAGGATTCATGGGAACCCGCTGTGAAAAGGGTAAGCCAAGTTCCCTTCAGAATCAAGAAGGGAAATATCATATAGGTGATCCAGGGATACCAAGGATGGTCTTTTGCACATGTAACAATGGCCCTGAAAAAGCTACTGGATGCTATGCCCCACCCCCCACACACACAGCTTTCCTAATGGAGGTTTGCTTTGTTGTTGCACCCGGATAGCGGAGATAATCACAGATGGTGACAAACAGATAAACTTTTACTCTGTTAATTTTCTGTCGCAAACAATAGCAAACAATTTCCTCCACTCAGTAGTATCTTATAACATCTTTAACCTCTGCCACAGGCTCATGCAGATTCAGTAAGCCAGACAGTAAGCCAGATTCAGTAAGCCACCTTAAGATCTCCAATCTCTCCTATGGGATAGTAGCGGACCTCTAAGTCGAGACCGACCATTTGCATTTTTGGACCTTTAGGCCAGGGCAGGAAATTGGCTAAGCAGAACTCTTCTTCAGCTTCAACTTCCTTTTACAGGCAGCAGGCCTTAGAAACATGAATGGAACACCTCTGGAGCTATACCCTACCCAGGCAGTGGGAACCAAGAGTGGAACCGTCACACACATCATCTGTAGGCAAAGCTTTAGAGGAAAGGACCTTTCTAGAAGGTCTACGCAAATATGTATTCCCTATGCTAGCTCAGATCATAAACCCTTCAGTGATTGGCCAGGGAAAAATACATAGTCAGAACCCACAACATTGTAACTTTCCACACTCCTCAGAATCAGACAGAAGCAAACAATGTCCTTGGCTTTAGGGAAAACTAGGGACACTCCCAGGGGCGGACTGACAACTCATTGGGCCCCGGGCAATAGGGGATCATGGGGCCCCTGTGTCCTTGCCCAAACTCAAAAAACCCTATGAAAAAGGTACCAGGGGCATCTCATGGGGCCCCCTACTGACCCCGGGCCCTCGGGCAGTGCCCGAGTTTCCAAATGGTCAGTCCGCCCCTGGACACTCCTGTTTATGGCACACAATTTCCTTTTGGACATCCATGGAGACTAAGACAGGGCCTGCTGGGGTGCTGGAAAGGGCACAGGTGTGGTACTGGTTAATGGAATTTAAGAGAACTGGTCATGGATGTCCAGGCGTACACTGAGGATACACAGACCTCAGATATAGGCATAGTGAAGGTCATAGGCAAGGGTTGGTTACAAACAAGCAAAGCAACAAATGGTTTAGCAAAATCAAGAACAAGCCGAGGTCAATAATGTTTAGGTAGCAAGCACATAGATGCTAAGCTTTTATACAAAGATCTAGGTACACGTGTAGGTGCTCTAGGGACTGCAGAAGTTGGTTGGCTTGCACCATTATCCTGACTAGAACTGCAAAGCAGGTAACACCCATAGCTCCCAACTGTCCCTAATTTCGAGGGACTGTCCCTCATTTGGAACAAAGTCCCTCTGTCCCTCCTTCCTCCTCATTTGTCCCTCATTTTGGTATGATCTAAAGAGCTGTATATAAAAGGCACTATTTACCTATCAAAAGGCAGATAAACAACTTTCTAAATCTGCATTTGTAAATTTCAAAAGCCAATATCAAGGCATAGTAGGGGCATAAAAAGCAATGGTGAGTTTAACCAGGGGTGGACTGACCATTTGGAAACTCGGGCACTGGCCGAGGGCCCGGGGTCAGTAGGGGGCCCCATGAGATGCCCCTGGTACCTTTTTCATAGGCTTTTTTGAGTTTGGGCAAGGACACAGGGGCCCCATGATCCCCTATTGCCCGGGGGCCCCATGAGTTGTCAGTCCACCCCTGGTTTAACCAATCATTTTTTGTATAATTCTCCTTCAAGGAAGGGGGGGGGGGAGGCATGGCAAGGGTGTGCGTCCCATGCAAACATACTGTTTCTAATAGGTGTTCCTCATTCTCATCTCATAATGTTGAGAGGTATGAACACCTAAGGCCAGGTTTTTAAATTGTTTATACTTGCTGAAGTGTAGCGTGTTTCACTGTCTGTCAGTGATAAATGGCAAGTATACCTTCTACCCTATCAACAAAGTGTTTCTCAATTAGTGGCAGCACAGTTCCAACCTTGGCAGCGTTAGGGTCATTGGTTCAAATCCCAACCTGCCTGGGAGTTTGCATGTTCTCCCTGTGCCTGCGTGGGTTTCCTCCCAAACTTCAAAGACATGCTGGTAGGTTAATTGGCTCCTGTCTAACTTGGCCCTAGTATGTGTATGTATGAATGTGAGTTAGGGACCTTAGATTGTGTGCTCCTTGAGGGTTAGGGATTAGGTACGCCCCTTGGGGGTTAGGGACTGATGTGAATGTACAATATATATGTAAAGTGCTGCGTAAATTGACAGCACAATATATAAGTACCTGAAATAAATAAAACCTGAATCCAGCTACTTTTTTTACTTTTTAAAGTTTGGGAGGGTTAAAGACTTTGCCAGCTGTTTATTGCTGACTGTACCCCCATTCTGACATTCCTTCTCATTTTCTGATAATTTGACAGTTGTCAGACATAACAGGACGTTAAGTTGAATTGGTAACCATTATCCCTGGTAGAGAAAAGGATTGGAAATCCACCATTTTATAGCTGTCACCAGAACATAGAATGAACAAAGGGGACAGGTGCTCTAAGTGGATACCTGTTCCGGACAAATGGGTCTCCCCCCAGCCAGACCCTAGATAGAAAGCTTCACATACACTTCAAGTTAGTTACTCCTTGTTTTTAGTGCCCCCCCCCCCCCCAAAGAGGTACGTAAAAATGAAGTAACAAAGGGATACTTGAATGAGTTTCTCTGTTTTTCAGCTTGCAGAGAGGGGAACTTTGGCAGAAACTGTCAGGAGACATGTAAGAGGGATCAGGGCTGTAAGGGACTCACCTTCTGCCTTCCAGACCCCTATGGATGTTCCTGTGGCAGCGGATGGACTGGCGATCATTGCCAAAAAGGTACAGGAACTATCATGATCTCCACTTTGTTCCATATAAGACATTGATAAAGGAAGACAGTCAATTTCATATATTCTATGTGTGTAGACAATGAATCCGTCTGTGATGAAGACTCTGGAAGCTTAAAAAGCCTAAAACAAAGATATAGTGATAATGTAAATCTGGATATACTGTAAATCCAACCCAAGGGTAGACTGTATGGCCAGAAGCTTGTGGACACCTGACCATCAGACCTTCCTATATAGCCAAAAGTATAAACTTTGGGGGTGTTTCCATTGGTTTGACCAGTTTGGTGTTACATAGTTAGTCTGGCTGAAAAAAGACAAAAGTCTATCCAGTTCAACCATTAAAGGTTGAGGAACTGGAATGTCCCTGCACAGAGCCCTGACTTCAGCCTTACTGAACACCTTTGAGATAAGTTGGAACTGAACTTGTGAGCCAGGTCTTTTCATCCAATATCAGTATTCATCACAAATGGACACAAATTCCCACAAACACCTTCTGAAATCTCATAGAAAGCCTTCCCAGAAGAATGGAGAATGTCACAGCCACAAAGGAAGAGCAACCCATAATAATGGCCCTGGTTTGGGAATGGGATGTCCAACAATCTCATATAACTGTGATGGTCAGATAACTTTTGTCCATATAGCATGCCTAAAAATAACAAAATGCTTCACTTTTAGCTTCCCCAGTCAAAATTTGATACTGCTATAATTTAGTACAGAGGTGTTTCTACAAGGATGAATCAAATTTATACAGGCGTTCATTTTGTCCAAACTGTCCTGTATCATACAATGTTGTTTGACTCTCATTTACATACAGAGTGCCCTGCAGGAACATATGGAGCAAACTGTGCCCTGAAATGTGAGTGTGAGAGTGGAGGCTCCTGTAATAGGTTTAGCGGATGTGTCTGCGCCAACGGCTATCATGGACAGCACTGCGAGAAGTCAGGTAAAATTTCCAGTCACTGCGTGAAGATACAAGTATTTTTTCCAGGTCCCCCAAGTGTGTCATTGTTCTGGGACCCCAAGTGTCAGTGTGTCATTGTTCTGGGACCCCAAGTGTCAGTGTCATTGTTCGGGAACCCCAAGAGTCAGTGGGCCATTGTTCTGGGACCCCCAGTGTAAGTGTGTCATTGTTCTAAGGCCTCCAAGTGTCAGTGTTTCATTGATCTTGGACCCCAAAAGTCAGTGTGTCATTGATCTAGGACCCCAAGTATCAGTGTGTCATTGTTCTGGATCCCCATGTTTCAGCGTGTCATTGTTCTAGGACCCCCAAATATCAGTGTGTCATTGTTCTAAGACCCCAGGTGTCAGTGTGTCATTGTTCTGGACACTCAGGTGTCAGTGTGTCATTGTTCTGGGACTCCCAAGTGTCATTGATCTAGGACCCCAGATGTCAGTGCGTCATTGTCCTGGGACCCCCAAGTGTCAGTTTGTCATTGATCTAGGACCCCAGGTGTCAGTGTGTCATTGTTCTGGACCCCCATGTATCAGTGGTTCATTGTTCTAGGACCCCCAAGTATCAATGTGTCATTGTTCTATGACCCCAAGTGTTAGTGTGTCATTGTTCTATGACCCCCAAGTGTCTGTGTGTCATTGTTCTATGACCCCCAAGTGTCTGTGTGTCATTGATCTAGAACCCCAGGTGTCAGGGTGTTATTGATCTAGGACCCCAGGTGTCAGTGTGTCATTGTTCTATGACCCCCAAGTGTCAGTGTGTGTCATTCTTCTGGGGGACTCCCAAGTGTCAGTGTATCATTTTTCTGGGACCCCAAGTGTCAGTATTTCTTTGTTCTGGGGCCCCGCATTTCATTGTGTCAGTTTTCTGAGACCCCCAAGTGTGTAATTGTTCTTCACCCTTAAGTGTCAGTGTGTCATTGTTCCGGGATGTCATTGTGACAGTGTGCCATTGTACCAAGCTGGGCCTAGTATGCATATGGGGGGAAACTCTAATGTTTATACATTCTTTCTGTAGGATGTGCTACAGCAATAGTGACAGTTACAAAGGAAAAAAAATCACACAATTTAAATTGCTGGCAAATAAAAGTTCATTGCCAGCTTTTTTTTTAGATAAAAAAAACAGCACAGCAACCCCTCCGAAGTTTCTCAACAATTTATAACAGACCCTTAAGGGGTCTTCTATGTATTTTGGGGGACCTTTGGGGTCATGTGCTGTTTTTTGTAAAAAAAAAAAAAAAAGAAACTAGAAGGGGGATGTTATTTTCTGGCAATTTAAAAATCTACTTTCTTTTGTAAATGTCAGTTGTAAAAAATCACTGCTCCTGGCCGTGTGGAATTTGTATGCATTTATTGTACTTGTGCATGTTCCGCAGGAACTCGTGTTTTTTTTTTTTATACACCCCCTTGTCTATTAGCCCCCCAAAATGGACATTTTTAACAGCAGATTTGGCTTTCATTGACTTCACTGGTTCAGCTTTGGGCTGGCATCTGGACATTTTTAAAGTTCATCAAACCTTTCTCAAACTGAACCTAGGAGAGCTTGGCTCGTCACTAATGCCTAACACTGCACAAGAGTACTGTATTATTATTACAAATATCAGTTCATATTTTTACATTTAGGTTATATTTTTTTTTTTATCTCCTTGGCTTCAGATCATCATCCTCAAATCATCAATCTTCCATCTCAGGTGGAGTTCAATCTGGACTCCCCAGCAGTGTTGACATGTGCCGCATCTGGGAATCCCCAACCTGTCCTGGGGAGTATAGTATTGAGGAGACCTGATGGATCGGTCATCACGGTACGGCACGGGTCAGGTATACTTTGATGACATTAATGCAAGTTGGTTGTTTCCAGCTGATGACCATCTCTCCCCCTCTCCCACCTCACACAGGCCAGCAATGCTCTCCTGGATGCGGAACGCAGCACTTGTACTTTCACCGTGCCCACCATGACTCTGAATGACAACGGATTATGGGAGTGCCGTGTGTCTACTAGCGGGGGGCAGGACAATCGTAAATTTCGTGTACTGGTCAAAGGTGAGACAATTCAATCTTCCAGTATTGAGTTGACATCAAAAGGCTGACAGTAAAATAAATTTTTTGGAAAAGTTGCTACTTGGATATTTCTCTATATATTTATTGTGTACAGGGGCGGACTGACCATTTGGAAACTCGGGCACTGCCCGAGAGCCCGGGGTCAGTAAGGGGCCCCATGAGATGCCCCTGGTACCTTTTTTTCATAGGCTTTTTGAGTTTGGGCAAGGACACAGGGCCCCCATGATCCCCTATTGCCCGGGGGCCCCATGAGTTGTCAGTCCGCCCCTGATTGTGTATCATTGTTATCATCATACAATAATATGGAAGTGGTGTAGAAAACCTGAATATTGGGCTGGCAGCTTCTGCTCACTGAATGGTTTCCACAATCACATTGGACTGTGATAGGGATGAGTGAAACCAGAATTGAAGTAGATTTAAATTTTTCAATCCAAATAGAAGTTTATTCCATTGATGGTTATAAAGCCAGCTCATTTCAGGGGCTGTGACACCTTCATCATGGTTTGAAAATGTTATGGGCTTACACAGCATCCATCAGCAGCCTATTCAACCAATGTAAAATAATTGCACATTGTATGATCATATGTTACTGACGATCGTTTTCTAGCTATTTTCACTATGTTACGGTCAGGGGTCAAATTTGGAGACCAGTAGCTATAGCAATAGAGAGGCCAACAAGAAGAGTACATGGGAAGGTCACCCTGGTGGAGGATGCAGACTCACCTGAGGCACAGGGTCTAATAACTAACTGGTATTCACCAAAGCTTCTGTTGGAGGGGATGTGTGTTATTACCAGGCTGGGGTCCTCAGAATCACCCTACCAGGAGGTGAGTAAGCTGGGGTCCAGTGGAAGATGTAGCAGGCAGGGGTCACACAGAAGCATAGTCAGTAAACAAGCCGAATGTTGGTAATGAGTGGTTGCAGGTTGGGATCAAGTAGAAGCATAGTCAAGGTACAAGCCAAAGGTCAGTTGGAAAGAGCAATTAGTAGAGGAACGCCGAACTGTTAGGTAACGACATGGTATGTTACATATTCATAGACGAGTGGGTTCAGGTTGGGAATCAATAGAATGCCATTAGTCATTAAACAGGTAACTGGTAGCGAAGATACAGATGGCAGAAGGAGAGGACAAGAGTGAGATATTGGCTAGAGAGGGTCCAATAATCTGGCAAACAGAAAGTGCAAAGGCATGGCATTAATAGGAAGTTCATGGGAAGAGCAATGAGTTCAAGGTTCATCAGAAACAAGGTACAAGATATCCCAGGTGGCTAACCAAGAAGAGACACAGCCAGAGGTTGCAGGTTCAGGTCTGGGTCCTGACACACCAATTGTAGATCATAATTTAAGAAAATGCTCAGATCGGTTCCTATTTTGGGGGTCACATGATTAAAATGTGTCTAAAGTCCAGTTTTTTTTGTTTTTTTTTTTGTAGTTTAGAATAGCATGGTGAGGGGTAGAATATTCTGCCATGCTTTAATTAGTCAGTTATTTAACCTGTGCTCCTCTTGGGACTGAAAGTGAGGAGAAATCCCAAATTCCCAGTCTACACCAGAACACGAGATAAGAGGGAAACTTGCAATAGAGGACACTTGTTTCAGTGACGATTGTCAAAGTGGGGATTTCCCTTCACTTTGGAGAGATTTACTCCTATTTCCTGTTGTGTCTCAAAAAGAAAAGTGGGGAAAAAATTCCCACTGGGGTTTTAGCTCTTAGTTGCTGTATCCAAAATTCAAGCAAAAAGTTTTGTCTTTGTTTTCAGGACACCTGACAATATATACGTGACCAGCCACTGCACATAGCTTATGATATTGCATTGTATATATTTGCGATATTGATAGGTATTATTTTTGTCTACAGTGCCGCCAACCCCCTTGGAACCACCACGTCTACTGGAGAGGCGTAGCAGGGCGCTCATCCTGGCACCAATTCATCATTTTTCTGGAGATGGGCCCATATCATCCATCAAGCTCCTATATCAACCGAATGGCATGAAATCTGACTGGCACAGTGTAATAGGTGAAAAAATACTCTCCATTTCACACTAAGTTTACTAGTACAACGTTGTTGCCAGGAGACATGGCTGACCATAAAAGATCATTTGACCTTACTACCATCGAGGCAGTCTCCAAGATCCTCTCTGATGCCCGCCTCACCACCTGCCCCCTCGACCCTATCCCCTCACAACTCCTAAGACCTCCCTCCCCCTCCATCCTACGCTCCCTCACCCACATCTTCAATCTCTCCCTCTCCTCCGGCACTTTCCCCTCCCCTCTGAAACATGCACACATCACCCCCATACTTAAAAAGCCCTCCCTGGACCCCAATGACCCGAACAACCTCAGTCCCATCTCCCTGCTCCGATTTACATCTAAACTCCTCGAGCGCCTCGTCTACACCCGCCTATGCTCTCACCTCAACGACAACAACCTCCTCGATCCCCTACAGTCCGGCTTCCGTCCCCTACACTCCACCGAAACCGCCTTACTCAAACTCTCCAACGACCTTCTAACCGCCAAAGCTAATGGCCACTATTCAGTGCTCCTACTCCTTGACCTCTCTGCGGCCTTCGACACAGTCGACCACCCCCTCCTCCTCAAAAAACGACACTCCCTCGGCCTCAGAGATTCTGCTCTCTCCAGGCTCTCATCCTACCTATCCCAACGCTCTTTCAGCGTTACCTATAATGCTACCACCTCCCCCTCACTCCCCCTCTCTGTTGGGGTCCCTCAAGGCTCTGTCCTTGGGCCCCTTCTCTTCTCCATTTACACCTCCTCCCTTGGCCAACTCATACAGTCTCACGGCTTCAACTACCACCTCTATGCCGACGACACACAAATCTATCTCTCAATCCCCCACCTCACCCCCTCAGTCTCTGCCCGAATCACGCACCTACTGAGCGACATATCAGACTGGATGTCACTCCACTTCCTTAAACTGAACCTCTCCAAAACCGAGTTTCTTGTCTTCCCCCCAGCCTGGACACCACCCCCCATTGACTTTTCCATCACATCCAACAACACCACCATCAAACCCACCCCGCAGGCCAGAGTACTTGGTGTCATTCTGGACTCCAACCTATCCTTCCAGCCCCAAGTCCAATCTTTAACAAACTCGTGCAGACTCCGCCTCCGCAACATGCAGACTCCGCCTCCGCAACATGCAGACTCCACCTCCGCAACATCGCCAAAATCCGCACGTTCCTAACCCCAGAAACCACTAAACAGCTCATCCACTCCCTCATCATATCACATCTCGACTACTGCAACTCCCTCCTCACTGGCTTGCCTCACCACAGGCTATCCCCGCTTCAGTCCATCCTGAATACGGCTGCCAGACTCATTCACCTTTCCAACCGCTCTGTTTCCGCCACCCCCCCTCTGCCAATCCCTCCACTGGCCTCCACCCCCCTCTGCCAATCCCTCCACTGGCTTCTGATTGCGAAACGGATCAAATTCAAAATCCTAACACTGACGTACAAAGCTGTCCACCATACTGCCCCGAACTACGTCACTGACCTAATATCCAAGTACCGCCCAGCACGCACACTCCGCTGCTCACAAGACCTCCTTCTCTCTAGTTCCCTGGTCTCCTTCTCCCATGCCTGCCTCCAGGACTTCTCCAGGGTGTCACCCATCCTCTGGAACTCCCTGCCCCAACCCATCAGATTATCACCTACTCTCCTCTCCTTTAGGCGCACCCTGAAAACCCATCTCTTCAGGGAAGCCTACCCCACCCCCTGCTAACTTGCCGACCTCCTCCACTCTTCCTACCACTCCATCCCCCACAGCTATCTCCTCCTGTGCCACCATCCCCTCCCTCCTAGATTGTAAGCTCCAAAGAGCAGGGCCCTCAATCCCCTCATGTTTTGCATTGTATTGGTATTGTTCTGTCACATGTTCTGTCCCCCTTTGTAATGTACAGCGCTGAGCGAACTATTGGCACTTTATAAATACTGTATAATAATAATAATGTAGACCATGGATGCTCAACCTGTGCCCGAAGGCCACACGTGGCCATTGGAGCCCTCTGATGTGGCAAACAACCTCAAACCAGAGAAGCGTGCTTCTATGATATCCTGTGGGTTGGTGCCCCTGAATGCAGGTGTTTTGGTGCACTTTCAGAAAGTGGACCACACTGGCAAGATATAATAGAAGTCTATGGCAAAGTGCAGCTAACCTGCAGGAAAGCCGCAGGTGCACTGTGATGTACCCGTGATGCGGGTAAACCGCAGCGCATCAGTGTGAAAGCAGCCTTATAGGGGCTCAGGACAGTAAGGGCTCATTTACATTTGCAGTTTGGGGGGCAGTAAAACCATATACTGTAGTTGAGATATGTTATTACCACACACCCCCAACCACTGGTGTAGTGTCAGGGGTCGCAATGGTGACCCTGCCCCATGCTTCAGGGGGCCCGTGTGGCCTTCCTGTCACATTCTGTTTTCCACTTGGACAGGAGGGGCAGCGGGGGGGGCCGCACATAAAGGAACTAATCCTCTCCATTTTCGGCATTCAGCGGCTGCAGGAGGAAAATGTTCACTATGCTATTCAAAATAAAAAGATTCTGAACCATTTCATTGTGACCCGTGGCTGGTTGCTAAATCACTTAAATGGCCCTCGCTCAGGGGCGGACTGACAACTCATGGGCACCTGGGCAAACTCAAAAAAGCCTATGAAAAAGGTACCAGGGGCATCTCATGGTGCCCCCTACTGACCCTGGGCCCTCGGGCAGTGCCCAAGTTTCCAAATGGTCAGTCCACCCCTGCCCTCACTCATCAAAAAATGAGCACCCCTGATGTAGACGACTGTCACATGAAGAATGAAGGTTTAACCCTTCAGTCTGCAGATGACTATGTAGCCTGAAGCTGGCAGCGTGCCTCCTTTTAATACTGCAACTGTTGCATACAATTACAGTATTAAAAAAATACTTGCTTTTTTTCTAGTTGTCAGCCTGTAATGAAAAAAACTGAGGAGGTTTTTTATTAAGACAGCCTACCAATGAATCCTTGTATGCCTTTGTATGCCTTGTATCCCTATATATAAAAATTATTTACGTATGCAAATTAGTCATAGAGTCATTGTGAATTTAAGTAAATGCTGCCACTGTTAAATGTACATCTGGGCATCACTGATCTCTGCTCACAAAATTTAGTCAATAGGTTTGGTTATTTTTAAAGCTGCTTCCAATTGCCTGCAAATTGCTTCTTAAGGCCAGTGTGATTGTTTTCCACCAACCTGAAATTTGACAAATTTGTAAAGCAGAAATGCACTTATTTTGGTATGTATCAGGAGCGGACTGACCATTTGGAAACTCGGGCAATGCCCGAGGGCCCGGGGTCAGTAGGGGGCCCCATGAGATGCCCCTGGTACCTTTTTCATAGGCTTTTTTGAGTTTGGGCAAGGACACAGGGGCCCCATGATCCCCTATTGCCCGGGGAACCCATGAGTTGTCAGTCCGCCCCCGGTACGTATAACTTGTATATTGTTAGGGCTTTACTTTTACTGATTCTTTTTTTTTGCATAATAAATGTGTTAATAAATCTTCTAACGTCCTAACATTGCTATCTCCGTTTACAGTGGAGCAAAAAGAGAACATCACTCTTCCAAACCTAAAGCCAGTTACTGCTTACCAGGTGCGCTATCTGCTGGGCCGGCCGGGCCCCGGTGGTGAAGGAACCTTGGGACCGATTGCTATTCTGGAAACAGACTGCATAGGTGTGTATTTAGTTTCAAAAGCTTTTTTAAACTTATTTGATTGGTGTGGTGAGGCAATGAGAAATGTCTCTAATAAGCAGTGAAGGAACAGAGGAAGCAGGGGTTGAAGGAACAACCGGAACTGACTCCTGGAGGGACCCTAGGGAGTAATTGGGGAGAAGTGTTAATGCAATCCCACAGGGTGTTGGATTACACCTAGAACCCCGGCATGTGGGGACGGGTTGATAATTGTGCGATTGATCTTGACAGAGAAGTCAGTGGAATGGGCCACATGGGGGAGGACAAATTATGAGCTCAGTTTTGGATATATTGAGTTTGAGGAAGTGGTGTGACATCCAGGCTGGTAAGTCTGTTAGTAAATTATGTGTACAGTATTTTGATTTTACTAATTCTCTGCTAGTTTCTCGTTTCTTCTCTTCTCTAGTTCTAGCTTTATCTACTTAGCTGTACAGTTATATATGATTTTTCCTCTAAGAGAAGGAATAAGGCTTTAGAGTTTAGACCAGGAGTCTCCAAACTTCCTAAACAAAGGGACAAGATTAATTCCCTTCAGAATTTAGTGGGGGATGCAGGGGCGGACTGACCATTTGGAAACTCGGGCACTGCCCAAGTGCCTGGGGTCAGTAGAGGGCCCCATGAGATGCCCCTGGTACCTTTTTCATAGGCTTTTTTGAGTTTGGGCAAGGACACAGGGGCCCCATGATCCCCTATTGCCCAGGGGCCCCATGAGTTGTCAGTCCACCCCTGGGATGGACTATAGTCAGCTGGAGTAGAAAATCCTCCAGCGTCAGTGGGAGTAAACAATGCCTCAAGCTTGGTGGTCAGTGTGAGTAAGAAAATTACATAGTGTTTGTTGTCAATAGGAGGAGAAATGGTATCAGTGGGAGGAATAGTACTCCATTGTTGGTTTCAGTGGGAGGAATAGTACCCCATAGTTGGTGTCAGTGGGAGGAAGGAAGAGTGCTCCAGCATTGGTTTCAGTGGGAGAAGGAATGGTGCCCCATCATTGGTGTCAGAGGATTAGTGTCCCATCATTGGTGTCAGTGGGAAGAATGGTGTCCCATTGTTGGTGTCAGTGGAGGAAATATTGAATATTGTTGATATCAATGGGGTGTATAGTGCCCCAATGGCAAGAAAAAGGCACATAAAGGGCCATATTTGGCCCGTAGGATGAAATTTTTAAAGCTATTCGTTTCAGAGGGGTAGTATACAGGGAAACATTAAAAGCAACTGTGATGGTGGATGTGTTTGGGACTTACCTGGAATCAAGACTCAACTACGATAGGGACCTTTAGGTGCTGTCGGATGCCGGAGAACAGGTATGTTATATTGACATATGGGTTTTCCACCATTTGACAGCACCTAAAGGGTCCTATTGTTTGACTCTTGGTGCCAGGTTAGTTGCGGCCCACCTTCACAGTTGCATTTAATGTTTCCTGGTATGCAGATAAAGGGGGAGGCGCTTCCCTCAAGACACGTTGTCTGTACTCACTACTTGTGAATTGTCAATTTCAATAAACTTGTTAAACAATAACTTCAAGTGTGATGAACGTCTACACTGAGCGCGCCTCCACACTTAGTTTATCATGTGGAGCGCTTTTCCATCTCTACCAAAGATGAAGCAGCTATGAGCCTAACAGGGCTAACCCTTCATCATACCTTCATTTGCTACAAACCCTCTTGCAGGACAGCACAACACAGATATCATCCAGTGATACCAGACCATACACTGTCATACACACACATTGGCTTCCCAGTATATGGTCATGGCATGCTGGAGAGTTGCCAGTATAGATGAAAGACTCCTATACCCAAATGAGATTCTTGTCTAAGACAGTTGTCCAGTGTTTCACCTCCTCAACTCTCTATCAGGTTCATTTTAAAAGCTGATCCTCCAGGTTGCTCATTCATGTTGATGTCTTTTTTTTTCCCCACAAGAACCTACTGTGAAACCGGAAATAAAAAGTTACTCCAAGGAAGACCGACACACAATATACATTAATTGGCAGCTGCCTTCATACAATAGTGTTGGGAATGGTTTCCTGGTCAGGGTTTATCATCCTCCAAACCAGCTTTTTCGAGAAGAGAATGTGACATCCATGGATATTTTGTCTACAAAGATCTACGGCCTCAGCTCCAACATAGAGTACGTCTTCAGAGTCTTAATTTACCACTGTACCAGCTTGGGGCCCCCTTCTGATCCCTACCCCGTTACTCTCAACAGCAAGGGTGAGTCCATCCAATAACCTCCACTTACAAGTGAATGACAGACTTGCAGGGGGATGGGGGGGTCTTAATACAATAGTCATGCAATACATGAATCATAAAATGTTTGCTATAGAGTGAAGTGCTAGTTATACTCCATTTTGTGATAGATGTAATAATTCTAAGCCAACATGTGAGCGAAGAACCATATTTAATGCAAAGCTTTTCAGTATATGAAAGAAACAATGTAACAAGTAATAGGAAGTATTGTTGCTACCGTCTGCTGAATTCATTGGTTGCATTCTCACAAATGACCTTTCAGTAAAAATGGATTTCTGTACTCCATAAGTGGCAAAAAGCAATTTAGCATCTAATTCTGGTTTCTAAATGAAATCATGCACATCAGAATTGCTGCTCTCTTTTGGAACTTACAACTTACAACCCTAAATCGCCTGTGTCCGCAGGTCCATCACCCCCGAAGGATGTCCATGTTAACCCTCTTTCTCGACATAGCATGAAAGTGATCTGGTCTCCTCCTGACGATCCTAACGGTGGCATAATTAAGTATACAGTTGAGAGACGAAGGTTTGGAGTCCTTGGGGAGCAGCAATGGGCCGATACAGAGGGCCACAACCAGACTTGGTACATTGTTGAAGGCCTGAACGCCAGCACCTCCTACCATTTTCGGGTGCGGGCAAACTCCAGAGTCCCCGGAGAATGGAGCCAAACTGTAATAGCTTCAACATTCAGTGAGGGTATATTTTTATTTCATCTTTCTTTACATGATGAGTATTGGGTTTTACCCATATGGAGGCTCTAAATATCGTGGAACTTGAATGGTAGGGAAATCAATATGAGTGATCTCTAGCAGAAGAGAAAGACCTCAAAGTTTCCAAGTACATTAAATACTAGGAACATTGAAAATCCATCATGGTTTAGCAGCTTTGTCTTCCTGCAGCAAAGTCACATCAGTATCTATCTCTAAAATGTTGGTGTTGTGAGCCAAAAAAAAACAAAGAAAAGTTCTATACATACAATCATGTGCAACACTATAGGAAGCTCTCCTAGCTTCAGGTTAATGGTCTCCTCTTTACGAAATGTCCTGTCAGTGGAATACCTAAAGCTCCAGGCAAACAGCTAAATACACAGATGAAATAGACATTTTTCATCTGTGTTTTACCATCCAAAGGAATTTACTTGAATCCATCCAGACCCAAGACTTAGGGAGCCCGGTACTCAGATGGACCCGGTACACCATACTTTGAGGTTTGTCATGAAAGAAAATATGTTAGACGCGGCTGCAATAATTTCTGCACAGAAATGAGCCGAAACACATCCAAACACCAAAAAAAAAAAGACAGCTAATCTCACACATACTGCTCTCTCTGCTTCTGCTCTCTCTATTTCTCTCAAAAAGTCTGAAATAGTAATTTATTTTACTGTTTTTCAGTGCATTTTGGGCATTTGGGAAGGTCTCCTGAGGCTATCTTTAAAAAAACACTTCTAAACACAAACCCGCATAAACGCGGTATGCAAACGTGGATAAACAGACGTTTTTTAACCTATGTTTTCCGGCAGTCAGTTTCCATCGTTCAGAAGTTTTTTTCCAAACGCCCCGTGTACATGGAGCCATAGCCTGGGTGCAGTGTTTGACCAGAACTCCTGTAAAACAATGGGAGGAGCTAAAAATGTGTACATTGCTCTTCAATCATTTACATTTGCCCAATATACAACAATACTATCTACTTTCCCATTGTATTAGCATGTGCGAACATTGTTCCAATGGCACTCGTCAGAAATGTTCACGCAGGAAGACTGATGTTTATGCCAACACAACAGATTTATATATATAAGACTGAAAAATCACTAAACCTATACTATATGTACTGTATACAGGGCTTTTTTTCTCAGCAAATAGGTGCAGGAACTCCTCCTTTCAGAGTCCCCCTTTGTCTTTGCCCCTACCTGCCTCCGAGCACCGTTCCTTGGTTCCACCCAGTGGTGTATTTAGGTTTTGTGCTGCCCTAGGCAACACAAACATTTTGCCCCCCCCCCCCAATGAGAGAGTGAGAGAGTTCAATAAGTGTGTGTATGTATATATGATTCTCTCTCTCTCTTCCTTCTCTGTCTCTCTTCTCTCCCTCCCTCTCTCTCTCGCTCCCCTCTCTTATCTCTCTCTCCCTCTCTCTCTCTCTTCCCTCTCTTCTCTCTCTCTCTTCCCTCTCTTCTCTCTCTTCCCTCTCTTCTCTCTTTCTCTCTCTCTTCCCTCTCTTCTCTTGCTCCCCTCTCTTCTCTCTCTCTTCTCTCTCTTCCCTCTCTTCTCTCGCTCCCCTCTCTTCTCTCTCTCTCTTCCCTTTCTTCTCTCTTTCTCTCTCTCTTCCCTCTCTTCTCTCTCTCTTATCTCTCTTTCTTCCTTCTCTTCTCTCACTCTTCCCTCTCTTCTCTCTCTTCTCTCTCTTCCCTCTCTTCTCTCTCTTCCCTCTCTTCTCTCTCTTCCCTCTCTTCTCTCTCTCTTCTCCCTCTCTTCTTCTCTTTTCTTCCCTCTCTTCTCTCTTTCTCTCTCTCTCTCTCTCTTCCCCTCTCTTCTCTCTCTCTCTTACTTCTCTTCTCTCTCTTTCTTCCCTCTCTTCTCTCTCTTTTCCATCTCTCTCTCTTTTTCCTCTCTCTCTCAGATCGTATGGGACTCTATACACAAACACAGTATGATTACCCCCCCCCGGGTGACCTCCTCCAAAGGCTGCTGGTCTCCAGGCAGAAGGAAATGTGGGCAGGTGGGGGGTGGTAATCGTACTGTGTGTGTGCAGTTCCATACAATCTATCAGTGATTGTGTAGCATGTGCTGGATGGACGTCAGGAGGGAGAGCCCAGAGAACACAACACAGCTCACCTCCTCCTGGCTCTTTCCTCTCCGCCACTTCTCCTCCCTGCTCCAGGCTCTCCCCTGGTCCTGGCTCTGAGTGTGGGCGGGGGAAAGAGTGGCCACTCAGGAACACCAAGGCACCCCCTCCATCCGCCAGCTCTGTCTCTCCCTCCAGTAGCAGAAAGCCAATGGGAGGGAGAGGGGGAGAAACCTCAAACCAGCTTTCAGCTGCTGGCGGGAGAGATACACAGTGCATCCTTCTGCAACTGCTCTCCCCTACCACACAGATCCTCCTGCTGTCTGGGCCACCTACAGAAGTACCGGTGGTACCCCTCAGATGGCGGCTCTGTATGGCTTTGTCGGCCACTGCTCACCAGGTCCCTCCTTCCGAAGGGGCAGTGCCGCCCCTCTAAAAATGTCCAGCCTAGGCAAATGCCTTGTTTGCCTCACGTTTGATATGCCCCTGGTTCCACCCCCTACCTGCCTCCCAGTGCCACCCCTTTTAACCATTAGCCACCCGGCCTATAGCCGTTTGGTGGCCGTAAAAATGCATTAGCTTTCTGGGGTGTACGCCATTTGGCGTCCTCCCGCACATGCGCAGTTCGCGCGGTTGCAGAGCCGCGCAGCGGCGTGATCTATCACCGGCCATGTACCTCGGACACGGCCGATGACAGATCTGAGTACCGGCCCCTGTTGCCGGTACCATGTGACCAATCATAGCAGGTCACATGACAGTTGTATACAATGGACGGCTTCATTCATGCCATCCATTGTATACTAGTGTCTAGCTGTGAATGGTCACAGCTAATCACATGCACATGTCATGTGATTAGCTGTGGCCAAATCACAGCTAAGCACAAAAAAAAAAAAAAAAAAAAAAAAAAAAACCTGAATGAATCGATGTCATTCAGGTAAATGCTTGCTTATAGCAAAGTAATTCTTACAGCAAAGTAATATATATTTTTCTCTTATTATGTCACCAGTCAGTGTCCCTGATCACCTCCCATGCCAGTTATATGATGATTCTGTACTGCACTGGTGACAGTATGTAAAAAAAAAAATAGTGAAAATAATTTTTTTTAATTTTTTAATTTTCTGAAAAATTATGACAAAAAAAATACAACTTAAAAAAACTCGCCATTCCTCTTATGAAGTACGTCGGACTGTCTACTCTGCAAAAAGGGGTCATTTGGGGGATATCTGTACTGTTCTGACATTTGGGGGATATCTGTACTGTTCTGACATTCTTGGACCTCAAGAAATTAGATTGGCTGTCAGTACTTCAGGATTGATCAATATTCAGATCTATACCATAGTTTGTGAACTCTATAACTTTCCTACAAACTAAAAAATACATCCTAATTTGGGTTATTTTCACCAAAGACATGTAGCAGAATACATCTCGGCCTAAATTTATGAAGAACAATTATTTATTTGTAAACTTTTATAACAGAAACAAAGAAAAACTTGTTTTTTTTTCAAAATTTTTGGTCTTTTTTTGTTAATTTAGCAAAAAATAAAAACCCAGGCGGTGATTAAATACCACCAAAAGAAAGCTCTAGTTGTGTGAAGAAAATGATAAAATGTTAGTTTGTGTACAATGTTGTATGACCGCGCAATTGTCATTCAAAGTGTGAGAGCGCTGAAACGTGAAAAATGGCCTGGGCAGGAAGGGGTAAAATTGCCCGGTATTGAAATGGTTAAAGAATACAGAACCAAGTATAATTTTGTGGTACTAAGTCATTTTTATAGAATTTGTTAATGATACCAAGAAAAGCCGCAAATTAGATCCTCTGCACCTAAAAAACAGACCCCCCCCCTAATAACAATAGACTCCCCAGCACCAACGGACCACCAACAACAAAATACCACCCAGCAACAATAGACCCCCAGAAGCATTAACAGATCTCCTTGCAGCTAGCATCAATAGACCCTCCAGCAGTCAACATAAATAGACCCCTCCCTCAACAGTAAATCTCTCCCAGCAATAATTGACTCCCAGTAACACAAGACCACTCCCAACTACAATAGCCAATAGATCCCCCACCAACAACAATAGACCTACACAGGAGCAATAGACCCCACTCCTGCAAAAATAGATTTCTTCCAGTGAGAACAGATCAGCCAGCATTAACAGACCCTGCAGTACACCTCAGTACCCCTTGCCGTTCCATATATCATTTAGTGCTGGAGGTGCCAGAACTACGTTCCCCCCATGTTTCAGCTGAAAAAAAGCCCCGACTGCATATAAAATGTAACACAAAGTCCATAATTGGACAGGGAGCAGCAGGCTGATGAAGTTATCACTCTGCTCGCTTTGCTCTCTCCTCCTGTCAGCATGTTCATTGTCAGCTGTACATGTCAATTGACTCCTTGTGCTACTGTACAGGAGGCTTTTACAAAGTCAAATTCAGGTACTTATCCATTACTTGCTTGTTTTGTAATGAATACATAACTGCCTTAAAAGATGTTGTCTGCCTGGAGCTCAGCTTTACCATAAGAGCTAACTCCTGTTTTTGTCCCCAGAGTCCCATCACATGGTCCCCAGCATGGAGAGTAGGAACCCAAGGGTGCCTAGTTCAGGTCAACAGCTCCTCTTGGCGATCATTGGTTCAGTATCAGTCACATGTTTTACCATCATTGTTGCCTTGCTTGCTCTCTTCTGTATCAAAAAGAATTTATTTCACCGCAGGAAAATGTTCACCTACCAGTCCGGATCGGTGAGTGATATAACTTCCATAAAATACTTTATTCCCCACATGGAAGAAAAATATATATTAAATATATTTTTTAAATTTTCTTCCCAAATATATTGACATATATTTGAAATACTACAATTGTGGCCGTATTATATATATATATATATATATATATATATATACTTATATACTGTATGTTGAAATGCGTTTTTTATATATTAAAAAAATATATGAAAAATATTTTTACAAATATTTTTTTTTTAAATATATCCTTCAGATTTTTTTTAACATATAAAAAAGTACTTTTTAACATATATTGTTACATATATTTGTAAATGCATTCCAAAAACGTAGATTGGTAATGTACAGCGCTGAGCGAACGATCAGCGCTTTATAAATACTGTATAATAATAATATAATAATTAAATGTATTTTTAAAGACATACAGTGTATTTGAGCATTTTTTAAAAATATTTTTTCATATATATTGCAATATATAAAAAAAAAACCCATTTCAACATACAGTATATATATATATATAAATATATTGAATACGGCCAAAATTGTAGTATTTCAAATATATGTCAATATATTTGGGAAGAATATATTTAAAATATATTTTTCTTCCATGTGGGTCCCTGCTTCGGTATGAACATTTTGCATTTGTTTTTATTTCTTCAATTGTGCTCAAAGCCCTGCTTGATTCTTGTTTAAAGCCACAGCATGTAGGCAGGTGCAGTCTATTTTCTCCACGGCAGGTGGCGCTCAACTGCAGCAGCATTGCAGAGGGAGAGGAACATACTCCTCTATGGTTTCCTGGGTCACTGGGGAAGTGATCTGGTTGGAAGCTGCCGCCCCATGTGACTCTGGCAGCCATCTTGGGACAGGCAGAGTCTGTTTAAGACCCTGGCTCCCAAGTTTGGCGCCCATTTTGTGAGTGGTAGCGTAGCGATAGGACCCCCATCTGTCAGGGAATGTGAATAGTGGTAGGGAAAGGTTCCAGATGGATAGGGACATGCCATCCTTTCTGGAATTCTCCCTTTTGGGTGCAGAACAGCCAGGCCACATTTCACCCTCTGAAACAGATGTGGTCAGCACGCTAAAGGCCCACTGTGTACTACATTGCCAAGACATACCGTGAGTGTTCCCGCTCAGGTGCCTTCAAAATTTGTCCATAATGGTACTCTCAAACTTTTTCACAAACAATATTTCTGAAAGAATGGTCAAAAGTACGTAATTCTACTGGTTTAGAGTCCTTTGATTTTCATAGTTACTGGGGTCAAATTAATGATCGACTGAAGAAAATCAAAGGATATGGAAGGAATTTTTTCTTGAATGAAAAAAATTCTAAATGTGGATGTGGTTTTCATTCGGGAAAAATTGTACTTGTAATGCACATGTGCATCCTAAATGTAGATGCAGCACTCACCCCAAAGGGGTCGCTGGAAACAGATAGGTTCTCCCTAAGTACTGCAGAAGCAACCAGCCACCCAAGCACACCAATAATTAAACCCAGTCTAGGGGATGTCTTTTTTAGTATTTATGGTTCAAGAACTTTAACAAGAGAGGGGTTTAGGGTCAAGGGATGCTCCAAGATGACCAGCAGCAACAGCAAAGGAACAAGTTTCTCTCTAGGCTATCAATAGCAGCTTCTGTGGAGGTAGCTGGGGATGTGAGTATGTCATAGGTCTAGACCAGGGGTGTCCAAACTATGGCCCTCCAGGTGTTGAGGAACTGCAAGTCCCATGAGGCCTTACAAGATTCTGACATCCACAGGCAAGACACCCAGAGGCAGAGGCATGATGGGACTTGTAGTACTTCAACAGCTGGAGGGCCATAGTTTGGACACCCCTGGTCTAGACCATAGGGGTAGTGGTTAGCAAATGGTTCCCTTTCGCTTCCATGCAACTATAAGTCTCCAATAAAGTCGTTACTCACAGTGTCCTGGGTGCTGTCTCCCACCCAGTCTCCACAGGCAGATCCTTAAGGAGGGAAACAATACATAAACGCAGTGCAAGACTAAACATAAACACAGTGCAAACAAACCAAACCTCCAACAGATAACAATAAGAACAATACTAAACGTAGTCGGGCAGGCCGGGTTGGTAGCAAACGGGCAGGCAAGGTACAAGGAGCAGGCGGAAGAGTAGTCAGGAATAGCCGAGGTCAGAACAGGCAGAGTTCATGCAGAGTCAGGATTCAAGCAGGCAGGATCAGGATACAGGGGCCAAGGGAAACTATACACCAAGGCACTGATCACAGGCCTGGTCCTGCTAAATACACCTCCTGCAATCAGCCTCAGGTGATGGCCTGATTGCAGGAGTGAGATTCTGGTTGCTGAGAGCACCCGCTGGCCAGCCTTGGTACTGCAGCCCACAAGGCAGGTGAGTCCCACCACCATAAGTGAGTCCATTCCTGACAGTATCCCTTTTTTTAGCTGTCCTCCTCAGGCCCTTGGTGCAGCAAACACTGAGGCCCAAACAGTGGTTTCTTGTCTTAGTGATGCTTCTCCTAGGGGCAGCAGCCTCAGGAGTACTGAAAACCTTCCTGATGAGGAAAGAACAGTCTGTTCAGGGCTCCTGAACATTTATCACCTCCCCAACCACCTTCTGGAAGCTCCCTTCTAGGGATTGGCCAAGGCATGATAAATATTCAGGTGATCATTTGAATCTTCCTTCCTATACTCTGGAAGCTTCTTCCAAAGGCAGGGGGAAATAATCAAACTCTCAGCCTAGCAATCCTGAGCAGACCAAATCAATCAACCAGCACTCCATTCGTTACAATAAAACCAAAAAACTAAATTTGCCTAGCAGTCTAATTAGGAGGGTGCTATATAGAAATTCAAAACACTGGCAAGGCAATCAAACTTTTTCAGGATTTTCATATGAAATTGACAATAGTCCATATCGGTTCTCTTGAATAGACCCAAAGTGGCAGAGACTCTGTTCATTGACAGTGACAATATCTACCAATATTGATCATCTATAAAATATTATTATATATTTATAGACTCTTGTGATGCAATTTGTGGTGATGTTCAGGGACTGCATCACTGCAAATATTCTATTGATCTCTGCATTTCCCATCTTTAAGGGGGAGGAGACCATCCTGCAGTTCAGTTCGGGGACTCTGACCCTCACCCGGCGGCAAAGACCACAGACCGAGCCCTTTTCGTATCCCATCCTGGACTGGGCGGACATCAAGTTTGAGGATGTGATTGGAGAGGGAAATTTTGGACAGGTCATCAAGGCAATGATTAAGAAAGATGGGGTGCGCATGAATGCTGCAGTCAAGATGCTGAAAGGTGAGGAACATTTCTGGAATGTTGTGGAGACTCTTCTGCTACAACAGAAGGATACTGCATTCTCAAGGGCTCCAATTTTCTCATTGCCTAACACTGCCAACTTTAAAAGTCCCAAGAAAACTACTAACTTTCTAACAGTTAAGTGGCTGTGCCAGGTCTTTGCCAAATAGGGGGTTGGGGTGTGCCTAGTAGCGTCGAAGTACCAGCCATATGGGGAACAGTTGGCTTTTGTAATGGGCTGGAGTCTGTTGCCACTAGGGGGGAAAGCTGGCTAACTAGGAATTGGTATCAGTTGAGTTAGGCAGCGGTGTTGACCATGAAGGAGACACAGGCAACTGTGAGGAGTCTTGGAGGAACAGGATAGCTATTGGCATGGGAAGGCAGACCCAGCGTAAATGCTTGTACAGAAAAGGTGAGATCCCCAAAAAAGGGCAGAGGAGCATATTCTATGGAGCCGCCCCCTCTTCACCAGAGCTCCTAAAGCTAGAGATTGGTTTTGCTGCAGACAACTCCCAGGTTGAAACCCTCTGACTGACCTGAGCAGGCAGCTACTGGGAACTGAGATCAGATATTCAGATCAGATTCCATTGCAGGTCTGTGGGGAATAGTTGGCTTTTGCAAGCGTTATGTGTGGAAGTGGTATTTTTCATGGACTGGAGTCCACTGCCACTAGGGGCCACACTGGAATTAGTAATAGCAGTTGGACTAGGCAGTAGTGTTGGCCGTGAAAGAGACACAGAGAACTGCAAGGAGTCTTGGAGGAGCAGGATACCAGTTGGCTATGTCGGGCAGGCACAATGTACCTATGCGTACAGCGAAGGTGGGAGCCCCAAAAAAAGGGCTGAGGAGCATACTCTAAGGAGCCACCTTGCCTTCATCATAAGTTCCTAAAGTTAAAAAATGGGTTTTGCTGCAGGAGATTCACAGGTTGTGGCCCTCTGACTTTCCTGAGCTGGCAGCAGCTGGGAACAGAGATCAGGTATTCAGAGCTGATTCCATTGCAGCACTGTGGGGAATAGTTGGCTTTTGCAAACATTCTTTGTGGAAGTGGTACTTGTCATGGACTGGAGTCCACTGCCACTCACTAGGGGCCACACTGGAATTAGTAATAGCAGTTGGGCTAGGCAGTAGTGTTGGCCGTGAAAGAGACACAGAGAACTGCAAGGAGTCTTGGAGGAGCAGGATACCAGTTGGCTCTGTCGGGAAGGCCCAGTGTACTTATGCGTACAGTGAAGGTGGGAGCCCCAAAAAAAGGGCTGAGGAGCATACTCTAAGGAGCCACCTTGCCTTCATCATAAGTTCCTGAAGTTAAAAATGCGTTTTGCTGCAGGAGATTCCCAGGTTGTGGCCCTCTGACTTTCCTAAGCTGGCATCAACTGGGATCTAAGAGCATGTATGCAAAAAAAAAAGAGTCCTGTGCAGGGGCGGACTGAAAACTCATGGGGCCCCCGGGCAATAGGGGATCATGGGGCCCCTGTGTCCTTGCCCAAACTCAAAAAAGCCTATGAAAAAAGTACCAGGGGCATCTCATGGGGCCCCCTACTGACCCCGGGCCCTCGGACAGTGCCCGAGTATCCAAATGGTCAGTCCGCCCCTGGTCCTGTGCAGTACTGAGACGCTGGGATCACAAGTCATCAGGTAACATGGTCCAAGCTAACTGGAGTGCACAGAAGCACACGCAATGTAACTAGAAGCAGGCTACATGCTAGAGTACATAAAGGTACAAGGTAAAGCAGAAGTGCACAGGGTCACAATGAATCTAGGAACAGGCTTGAGTGCACAGGGTCACATTGGGGTAAGCAGCAGACTGGATACAAAGGAGCTGAATGATGTCTGGAGCAGGGGCGGACTGACAACTCATGGGGCCCCCAGGCAATAGGGGATCATGGGGCCCCTGTGTCCTTGCCCAAACTCAAAAAAGCCTATGAAAAAGTACCAGGGGCATCTCATGGGGTCCTCTACTGACCCCAGGCCCTCGGGCAGTGCCCGAGTTTCCAAATGGTCAGTCCGCCCCTGGTCTGGAGGTATGCATAGAACACTGGGGATCGGAAGAGGCACACAGGAGCTGGGAACAGACAGAAGGACACTGGGAACACTGGAGATCACACTGGGAGACACTGGTGGAGTGACTGGGGTGGTGGAGTGGAGGGGGTTCCAGTTCCTAGCAACCAGGCAAGCATCAAACAACCCAAAAGACATCCCTTTAAGGGTGAATCATAGCATCGAAGGAAACCTTGTACATAACTCAAAAGGGAAGTTTTTCTTATTACTTTTTTTGCTAAAAGTCTCTTAATGAAACAACATGCTCCATAGTGCGAGTATACAATACTACTCATGCTGTGAACTCATAAAGAAATGAACCGTTACACTAAGTGTTTATACTATTTCATTTTTTCTAGAATTCGCATCAGAAAATGACCACAGGGATTTTGCCGGGGAGCTGGAGGTTCTGTGTAAACTGGGTCACCATCCAAATATCATCAACTTGCTGGGAGCCTGTGAGAACAGAGGTATAATAATAGCCCCTCTCTCTTTCGCTTTAGATTTGGGTACTATGTGAGAAGATGGTGGATGGAAGGGATTTAGGAAAAGATTTACTCTCACCTCTTGATTTGGAGAAAACTGTAACATTTTGGATTTTCCATTACTTTCTGTCTGGGTGACAGTGGTCACCAGGACGAAGGACCAATCTACCCAGTGGGGACACTGACAGCAATGAAGCATGACCGAGGTCCTATCCCTCCCTTTTTGCTTTTAAATACACTTGTACTGAAATGTGTGTAGAACTACCCCCTTATCCCCGGTTCACATCTATGCGTTTTGCATGGGCATGAGAGCCCATTCATTTGAATGGACTCCCGTGCCCTGTGACACGCAGGGAAGAAGTCCCTGCACTTCTTCTGAGAAAAAGCAGCCCACACGGGAACCTCGGTTCCCAGTACGGCTGCGTTTTCCAGTGCGGTCGGCTTGCCATTAGAACTAATGGCACCCGCCCGCGGGTCTGCATTCTTCTGTGTGGGTGGTGCGGCTGCACGGATTTTCATGTGGATCCACAGCCGCACCACCCACACAGAAATGAACCTAGCCTTAGGAGCCGCTGGAGATTTGGGTCCCCCAATAGTCCTGCACAGCCAGGCAACACGTATTTTCTTCAGACTTGCATTCAAGCTTGCATACAGGAGACAGTAAACAGTCCTTGAACTTGTTTTTTGGGGATTTTATTTGGGGATTTGAACTTGGATGGGGAAAGGGGCATATGGGTTGACCAAGAGTACTGCAACTGAGGACAAACTCCTTGGTAACTATGTAGAAGTCCATAGAAGGGTTTATCTTCTTGGAGAGCTCTTCAGCCTCTCCTGGTGTACCACCTCAAACTCCCCTTAATTTGAGGGCATCCTTGGACAAGGGGATCCAGTGCCTGCCACCTTAAAAATTAACAGCCCAAGGTAAGGAGCTAATGAGGTTTCCCACCGGTATGCTCTTTTCCCCATAACTGGCCCAGGGGGTGTAGGATTACTCACTCAGTCTCTTACCTGTGAGCTGGTGTAGGTAGGTGGCTGCCTTCAGACCTTCTGCTGGGCTGCCTCCTTTCCTGGTTCCTCAGGTGGTCATCTCTCCAGGGAATGGGGAGGCTGAGCAATCCTCCTGTCCAGGTCTCAGCCTGCAGGTAGGCCCCTTCCACCCAGGGCCCCTTCCCAGGCTTCTTCATCTCAGCTTCCTCACATCTTCCACCCGAACTCTCCTGCTGCTGACAAGGCTCAGCCACTTTTAAGGGCTGTCCTAACCTCATGTCAAGCCTCCTGCTTGGGGATTGGTCAAGATCCCTTAAGAGTGCAGATTAGCTCCTCCTCACCTTCACCCACTGCTTTTTATAATCTTCTCCAAAATTCTAGAGCAGGCGGAGGTATCAGGGAACTGATCTGCAGAGCCTCTCAGCCCTGACCTGAGTTTGACCCAACTGACTATTGCCCAGACTGCTACTCAGCCCTTCTAACTAAAAAAAAAATCAGCTAACTCCCCCTAGCTAACTAGGAGGGTTCTACATGTGCAACAAATCACAATTCCTTGGAATTTTTATGTTGCAATAAACAGACAACCTTCATGCGTTCTCCTGGCTGACTCAACATTCTGGTTCAATCACCATTCTTCAGGTTATTTGTACATCGCCATTGAATACGCTTCATTTGGAAACCTGCTTGACTTTCTACGGAAGAGCCGAGTTCTGGAAACAGATCCTGCGTTTGCCAAGGAACACGGCACAGCCTCTACACTCACTTCCCAGCAGCTCCTACAGTTTGCCTCGGATGTCGCAAAAGGGATGCAATACCTCAGCGAGAAACAGGTACCCCGCCTGCTATGAGATAAATTGAGTGAAGCTCCAGATTTTTTTAATAACTCTATTAATAATTACGGATTTGCCTTCTAATAGTCACTTGCATATCATAAAATTAGCACTCGTTACGGGATAGGGTGGTTCATTAGAAAAAGTTTTCTTGGACCTCCTTAAGGCTGGGTTCACACACACATTTGTGAGCATTTTTATTTGTGTGTTTTCACACTACACGCATAGGACAGCCCATTCATTTCAGTGGGGTGCCCAATGTATGACAGATGTGCCAAAGTAGCTCATTTACCTTTTGTGGTGTTGAGGTTCAAATGTTTCTAGCTGCATATTTTGGTGCAATTGATGCATGTTTTGACACGCACAAAACGTGCATCTGCTTACTGAGTTTGGGGTGCCATTAACATTGAATGGCACTGCAAGCATGGCATGCGTTTTCTAAGCGTTTCCTGAATGTGTTCCAAAACTTCTGCTTTTTGCGCATGTTCACGAAACGCTCAGGTGTGAGATCATACAAAAATTTAAAGTAGGATTGAATATATTTTATTGACCTGTAATATATTCTAACACTAGGCAAGCCTAGATCTAATATTGCTGCTTCCACCATTGTCCTGCTTACTTTGGGACTGTCTAGCGCGGGGGTCTCCATTCTTTTGTATATTTTGGTGGGTTCACTAATTCAATTATATACATGAATAATTAAAATTTGAAAGAATGAATAAACACACTCCAAGAAATAATTTCACATCAGAAGTCCACTATTACATCAGAGCCCCCCATTGTATCAGAGCCCCCTATTGCATCAGAGGTCCCTCCTTTAACATCAGAAATCCCCTTTTTCACATATGAAACCCTCATCTTATTAGAGTTGCTGCTGGCTGGGTAAAATCATATAGCTGGCCATGGGCTTTAGATTCAAGTTTCACCTTTACTCTAGTGCAGGGGTCTCCAAACATTCTGAAAAAAGTTCCAGTTTATTGTGCTTCAGACTTTAGGGGGGCTGGACCATAGTCAGTGGTAGTAGAAAATGTCCTGGCATCTTTGGGAGTAAACAATGTCCCATCTTGGGTATTAGGGAAATTCTTAGTGTCCCATTGTTTGGTGCCAGTAGAAGGAATAGTGCCCCATCGTTGGTGTCAGTGGGAGGGAATAGTTCCCCATCATTGGTGTCGGGAGCAATAGTGCTCCATCATTGGTGTCAGAGGGAGGAATAGTGCCCCATCATTGGTATTAGTGGGAGAAATTAGCGTCCCATGATTGTTGTCAGTGGATAGAATAATGCTTCATCATTGGTGTCAGAGGGAGGAATAGTGCCCCATTATTGGTGTTGGTGGAAGGAAATTGACCCATCATTGGTGTCAGTGGGAAGAATAGTGACCCATCATTGGTGTCAGTGGGAGGAATAGTGCCCCATTATTGGTATCAGTGGGAGGAATAGTGCCCCGTCACTGGTGTCAGTGGGAGGAATAGTGACCCATCATTGGTGTCAATGGGAGGAATAGTGCCCATCACTGGTGTCAGTGGGAGGAATAGGGCCCCATCATTAGAATCAGTGGGAGGAATAGTGCCCCATCATTGGTGTCAGTGGAGGAATAGTGCCCATCATTGGTGTCAGTGGGAGTAATAGTGTCCCATCATTGGTATCAGTAGGAGGAATAGTGCCCCATCACTGGTGTCAGTGGGAGAAATAGCGACCCTTCATTTGTGCCAGTGGGAAGAATAGTGCCCCATCATTGGTATTAGTGGGAGGAATAGTGCCTCATCATTGGTGTCAGTGGGAGGAATAGTGCCCCATCATTGATGACACTGTGAGGAACAGTGGCCCATCACTGGGGTCAGTGGGAGGAATAGTGGCCCATCATTGGCGTCAGTGGGAGAAATAGTGGCCCATCATTGGTGTCAGTGGGAGGAATAGTGCCCTAAGGGCCTGACAAAGGCAGACAAAGGGCCCCATGCTGCAGTTTGGAGACCCCTGCTCCAGTGCAATGCATGTTTGATTCTCTTGTCCTGTGTTTTTCTCTCAGTTCATTCACAGGGATCTGGCTGCCAGGAACATCCTTGTGGGAGAAAATCTAGTGGGCAAGATTGCGGACTTTGGTCTGTCACGAGGGGAGGAGGTCTACGTGAAGAAGACAATGGTAGGTCATGTGACATTACTATGAAAAGTTGACCTTTCTAATAAAAGTTTCCATGCATTCAGATTCAAATTTAGTGTGCAGCTTTTACAAATGCAGCCTTGTCCACGTTGATCCAGAGGAATGCAAAAAAAAACCCTTATAAATTGTGGTCCAATATGATTCAACAGAGAGAAAAAAAACCTTACTGATTCCTACAGGCAATCAGATTTCTCTCTGGATCAACATTATTTCTATTATACAGCAATACTATATCTGCCATTATTATTTCGTACAAAAGTAGACTTAACAAACAGATATTTAAAGAACTGATTTGACACATGTTCTCTTGTACATTGTAGGGTCGCCTTCCCGTGCGCTGGATGGCCATCGAGTCCCTTAATTACAGTGTTTATACAACAAAGAGTGATGTGTAAGTCTTTTTCATATTGGATTTTCAAGAGAAAGTACCAGATTGCCAGAATACAGACAGGGGGTGGGGGTGGGGGGGGGATATTGATGGGGGTTTCATTCAGAGCAGTGATCTCCAAACTGCAGCCTGAGGGGTTGGACGTGACCCTTTGCTTGCCATTGTCTAGCCCTTGGGGCACTATTCCTCTTACTGACACTAACACAGGGGGTATAATTCTTGTCACTGATGCCAACAATGAAGCACTATTCCTCCCACAGACACCAATGATGGGGCACTAATCCTACCACTGAAACCACCAACAGAAGTATAATTCCATCCACTGACACCAACAATGGGGCATCATTCCTCCTAATGACACCAATGATGGGGGCACCTTTCCTCCCATTTACACCAACAATTCCTCCAACTTAAACCACCAACAGAAGCATAATTCTGTCCACTGACATCAACAATGGGGCATCATTCCTCCTACTGACATCAATGATGGGGCACCTTTCCTCCCATTTACACCAACAATTCCTCCAACTGACACCAACAATGGGGCACTATTCCTCCCACTGACACCAATGATGGGGCACTATTCCTCCCACTGACTCCAACAATGGGGCACTATTCCTCCCACTGACACCCATGATGGGGCACTATTCCTCCCACTGACACGCATGATGGGGCACTATTCCTCCCCCACTGACACAATGATGGGGTACTATTCCTCCCACTGACACCCATGATGGGGTACTATTCCTCCCACTGACACCCGTGATGGGGTACTATTCCTCTCACTGATGATGTGGCGTTGTTTACTCCCTCTGACACCAGGACATTTTCTACTGCCACTGGCTACAGTTGACCCTCCTAAAGTCTGAAACACAGTAAGCTGGCCCCTTGTTTAGAAAGTTTAGAGACCTATGACTTGTCCTGGCACAGATTCTGCAAGTCTTCAGTTAGTCCTTCCATGGATTTTAAGAGCTGGAGTTCTGGAAGTCCTGGCAGGGGTTCTGAGAGTAGGCGCTCTGGAAGTCCTGGCAGGGTTTATGAGACCTGGAGCTCTGGAGGTCCAATCAGGGATTCTGAATGTAGGAGTTCTGAAGGTCCTGGCAAGGAATTCTGAGAGTAGGAGTTCTGAAAGTCCCATCAGGGATTCTGAAAGTCTGAATTCTGGAAGTCCTGGCAGTGATTATGAGAGTTTGAGTGCTGGAAGCTTAGCAGGGATTCTCAAAATAGTAACTCTGGAAGCCCTGGCAGTGGTTCTGACAGTAGGAGCTCTGGAAGTCTTGGTAGGGATTATGAAAGCAGGAATTCTGGAATTCCTGCCAGGGATTCTGAGAACTGGAGTTCAGGAGGTCCCACCAGTGATTCTGAAAGTAGGAGTTCTGAAAATCCTAGCAGGGATCCTGAGAGTTGGAGTTCTGAAGTCCCATCAGGGGTTCTGAAAGTAGGAATTACAGAAGTCCTGGAAGGGATATTGAGAGTAGGAGTTCTTAAAGTCCCAGCATGTATTCCGATAGTTGGAGTGCTGGAGGTCCTGACAGGGTTTCTGAAAGTTGGATTTCTGGAAGTCCCAGCAGGGATTCTGAGAGTTGGATTTCTAAAGGTCCTGACAGGGATTCTGGAAGTTGGATTTCTGGAAGTCCGGGCAGGGATTCTGAGTGTTTTGGTTCTGGAAGCCCTGGAAGGGATTCTGAGTGTTGGAGTTCTCAAAGTTCCAGCAGGTTACTCTGAGAGTTGGATTTCTGAAAGTCCCGGCAAGTATTCTGAGAGTTGGAGTTCTGGAAGTCCTGCCTGGGATCCTGAGAGTTGGATTTCTGATGGACAGCTGGCCGAAGAAAAACAGAAGTATTCAGACATGTAGTACAGGTTGCAATCAAAGAAAATAATGGTGATGGCGCCGGGACTTAGAGGGCAAACTTGAACCAGAAAATGTCTCAAACCATAAACCATATGCAAATGTAAAAAATCTTAAAGGCAGTTCATATGATAAGAAAAAGTCCCTCTATGAGGAAGTGCCGCTGAAGTAGATTTCGTTAGGACTGTGTATTGCCCACCCCTAAGGCTGCATTGTGCTATAGATTGCTTCCATCTAACAGATATGTTTGCGTTGGGATCAATTTGTTTGGTTTCTATTAATCTGCAAGAACTGTGTCCCACTGAAGGAGTGAGGACGTTTTCTTTGATATTGGCATTTTCCTACCTCATAGCCACAAATTTTTGAGTAGTGAGATAAGTTTCCCTTGGTAAGGAACATCTTACAAACATTTTTCACAGCATCATATAAGCCTAAAGCCAGTCTTGTATGGGGGGGTACAAGGAGCACAGCCTGGACAGTAGTCATATACTAAACAAGTCACTTTCCCTCTCTTCCACACAGATGGTCATTTGGAGTGCTGCTCTGGGAGATTGTGAGTTTAGGTAAGTGAAGAACTGACACGTGTCTGTTGTCTAGAACATTTGGGAGAACATCAAGGGAAGCATTCATGTCTTCTGTTTCTTCCAGGTGGAACTCCATATTGCGGGATGACATGTGCAGAGCTCTATGAGAAATTACCACAGGGATATCGAATGGAGAAACCCCGAAACTGTGACGATGAGGTGTAAGTGGTTTTTCATGCACCAGCTGGGTAGAAGCAAACGGCATTAGATGGCAGTTGGAAATGTTTGTGTAGCTAGGTTTCTTATTTTTTAGTTAGAGGCTGGGTAGGCTGTACAGGTCAGGGCTTCTAGAGCCTTCCCACCCTTCCAGAAACTCAGAGAACTTTCTGGAAAAGGGCAGAGGAGGGGAGGAGGCCAAGATCTGCATGTTTGAGGGAACTTAGCCAATCCACAAACAGGAGGACAGGAATGATGACCAAGGACAGCCCTTAAATGTGGAAGAGCCTGTGCAGGTGGGTGAGTTGCTGGAGTCAGGTGGAAGATGGACTGAGAGAAGGCTGCAGTGTGGAGCCTGGGAGGGGGCCCCAGGGAGGGGAGCCTACCTACAGGCTGGTTGCTGGACAGGAGGATCTTCACTGTTCCACCACCTCTTTGGGAGGACATCCTGAGCAGCAGGAAAGGAGCCAGCCCAGCGAAAGGCCTGAAAGCAGCTACCAACCCACCACGCTGACAGGACCAGTCAGGACAGGACAGTGTTAGTACTCCTACACCCCCTGGGCCAGATAAAGGGAGAGAGCAGTCAGGTGCAAGACCCAACTAGTTCTTATCCAGGACTACTTCATTGATAGATCTTGGAATAACTTGCCCAGGGATACCCTCAGTGCAGCCGGGTGGGGAGCATGGCTTCTCCTTGGGTCAGAGGACGTACACAATGAGGACTTTAGTGCTCCTTAAAGAGACAATGTTATATTTGCTATTTTCAAGATTCATGTATTTTCATACAGTGTACAGGTTGATCAGAAGTTTGTCCTCAAGTTTACAGTTCCTTGAACATCCCATATACCGCTAGACCCCATACAAACTGTTAACCCCCTAAAAAACAACTAAAATAAATATCTCAAGAACTGTTTACTGACAAGAAGTGTCCAGGTGTGGAAAATGCATGTTGCCTGGCCGTGGTGCTTAGCTTAGGTGGGACCCAACAAAACCAGTGGCCCTCAAGAAGGTACTGCTACACTTACAAAGTCCACATTGCTTTTCTCAATCTATAGCACAGAAGGGCTTGTATCCTATAGTAGCCATATATTAGAAAGAAGAGCCATGGCAACCCATGCAATTATAATAGAACCAGCAACTCTGGGGGCCCAACTCTTCTTCCTACATACTAATGTATACAGGTTATGATATCCTAAATATATATACGCTTTGGGAACCCCTACAAAATAATTTGAAGGCAAAAGGGTTTCTGTATTCGTGTAAGGATTTCTTTGGGGAAGGAGACCTAATTGTCCTGCTGTGGGCTCCCTTCAGGCGTAGTTATGCCTCTAGTAAGATTTTATGTTATAATGGTGTAATACAACATCCAGTGCATTTTAGGGGCTTCTCCATTTCTCCTTCATCAAAAACATAATAAGGCTGATTTACTAAAAGATTTGACACAGGTTCACATAACCCAGGTGTTTATCCCCTTCAATTACCCAACCACGTGAAAAGAAAATCCCTCTTTAATTATTTTATCTGCACATGATTGGAATATTAAGGAGGATATTCACAGTTTGAGCCTTTAAAGCCCCACTCTGGGCAAAAACACTTTTTTTTCCACCCCCCAATAACCCATCCTCATAGTCTGCCCCCTCTACCTGAGGAAGGCAGATGTAAGTCCCCCATCCAGGTTCCTCACTGCTGCTGGTTCTAGTGCAGCACCATTTTTACCGGTGCGTGTTTTTGGCCGCAATTTTATGACTTGGGCAACTACTGCTTCGACTACTACTGGAAATGAGTAGAATTGCAGGAAAATCACATTACTATATACATATACATGCGTTTCTGATAGACACATCACCCTTCAAAGTCACCTCACTGTTGCACTGCTTTGACCTGCATGGCCACCATTGAAACCAATGTTATATCCATTGTCCAGTGATTCAAGTTGCATCAGAAATCACAGTAGTGGGAATTAGGCCTAAGGGGAACTCCAAGCAAAAAAAAAAAAAAAATGCAAGAGGTTCCCCTAAAAATCCCAAACTAGACCCTTAATTTGAGCATGTTGGCCAGAAAAGAGGGGACCAGTGTGCACACCTTCCCCTGAACCATACCTGCTCACATACCCTCAATGGCGGGGGGGGGGGGGGGAAGGGCTCGCTATAGGGGGACAGTTAAAGCAGCTTGTCCATATGCTGATGAGGACCCTGGTTGGTGGTTGTGGGGGTCTCCAGAGGGGTCTTATTGGAATCTGGTCTCCAGATACCCCCCCACTTACATGACTTAATATGGGGTACATAGTACTTGTGCTCATTCACACACACAAAAAAACAATTGCCTGAACAAAGTCTGCTCATCTCTAGTCAGTGCGTGTTCAGATCCCGGAGAATACATTCCATAGAAGAACTAAATCACCAAATCCTTGATATAAACTGAAGCCTGTGTGAATGTATGCTCAAACATGGCGGGCACATGGTAAATATTGTGAGGATTGGATTTAGTTGTCTGCTTGTGATTGATGAGCCAGTGTACGCAGATAAAATGTAATAAAATGGCCCCGCTGTGTTTGTATTTCAGGTATGATCTGATGCGCCAGTGCTGGAGAGACAGACCCTACGAAAGGCCAACCTTCAACCAGATCTCCCTGCAGCTTATACGCATGTTGGAGGCCAGAAAGGTATGATCCATTGCTATGATGCTACTAGCTAAATTTTATACATTTTAGAAACAAAGTTTCATTACATACCTTATTTTAGGACAGGTGATGTCATCACTGGGTTTCTGTGTGTCCCTATGCAATACAGGCAGATCTTGGCCAGGGCCAGCAGGGTGCTGTACATAGTTTCCTGAAAGCATCACATCACCCTGCCTTAGTACTCCTCTGGACAGCTCTCAGTGGGTTGGCATCTGGGAGGAGTTATGCAAATATCAGAACTTCTTACTGGATGGATGGCAATCTGGAAGGTGTTCCTAGACAAGACAGGCATGCTCACCAACCTAGCTATTCGGCCCCAGTGCCATTATCAAACTGCATCCATTGTCAGCGGCTCCTACAGGTCACAGGCATCATGTATGCTGGAAATATAGACTGTCAATGACAGCTGGCATCCAGCAATAAGCCCAGCAGCTGAAACGTTCAACTCCTGGGCTTTGGATCTTGTTACAAAGTGCTCCATAGACGCTTCTGCATTGTGTTTACATTGGTAGTGTACAAGTACGGGTTCCTCCAGAGGTTGCTAAGGCTTCCTGGAGCAAAAAGTTATTTCTTCCTTTTTAGATATACAGCCGCTGATGCCAGTGTAGGGAACATTCTTCCCACTGATCACCAATGTAAGGGACATTCTTCCCACTGATCACCAATGTAAGGACATTTCTTACCACTGACCACCAATGTAAGGGACATTCTTCCCACTGACCACCAATGTAAGGGACATTCTTCCCACTGACCACCAATGTAAGGGACATTCCTCCCACTGACCACCAATGTAAGGGACATTCTTCCCACTGATCACCAATGTAAGGGACATTCTTTCCCACTGATCACCAATGTAAGGGACATTCTTCCCACTGATCACCAATGTAAGGGGACATTCTTCCCACTGATCGCCAATGTAAGGGACATTCTTCCCACTGACCCCCAATGTAAGGAACATTCTTCCCACTGACCCCCAATGTAAGGGACATTCTTCCCACTGATCACCAATGTAAGGGACATTCTTCCCACTGACCACCAATGTAAGGAGCATTCTTCCCACTGACCACCAATGTAAGGGTCATTCTTTCCCCCTGATCCCTCTGACTACCAATGTAAGGGGCATTCCTCTTGCTGACCACCAATATAAGTTGCATTCTTTCCACTTAGCACCAATGTAAGGGGCATTCTTCCCAATTTTTATTTATTAAAAGTCTTGCAATTAGGAGCATTCTACACAATGACCACCAACGTAAGGAGCATTCTTCTCACTGACCACCAATGTAAGGGGCATTCTTCCCACTGACCACCAACGTAAGGAGCATTCTTCTCACTGACCAAAATGTAAGGGACATTCTTCCCACTGATCACCAATGTAAGGAACATTCTTACCAATGACCACTGATGTAAGGCGCATTATTCCCTATGTCCTTGTAAAGTGGTAAGGTGGCCTTTCTCCACTGATCACCAATGTAGGGGACATTCTTCCCACTGACCACCAATGTAAGGGACATTCTTCCCACTGACCCCAATTTAAGGCACATTCTTTCCACTGACCACCAATGTAAGGGACATTCTTCCCACTGATCACCAATGTAAGGGGCATTTTTCCCACTGATCACCAATGTAAGGGGCATTCTTCCCACTGACCACCAATGTAAGGGACATTCTTCCCACTGATCACCAATGTAAGGGACATTCTTCCCACTGATCACCAATGTAAGGGACATTCTTCCCACTGACCACCAATAAAATGTAAAGGACATTCATACAAATGACCACCAATGTAAGGCCAATTATTCCCACTGGTCATGTAAAGTGCTAAGGTGGCCCTTCTCCACTGACCACCTAGGTAATGGGGCACTACACTGGCCATCAATGAAAATGGATATTTCTTTACCTCTCACCAATGTAAGAGAACAATGCAGTTTTTACAGTTTGTGGTTTTTTTTGGCCTTTATTATTATTATTATTATACTCTTATTATTATTGCTTTCATTTCAATATTATTAAAACAATATTTTCCATATAGAACAGCCTTGGGTGTCAAACATGCCAAGTTCACCACGTTCCTTATTCTTTTATTTTCTTTATACTTCAGCTTACTATACAAGCTAATGTCCTGTGAGCTGTAAATGTTGTACATTAGCTTCCTAATACTTGAAAGTTATTTCAAGGGTCGCCCCTGTAAAAAAAAAAAAGAAATGTTGATCTGAGGGCTTATAAGCTGCAATCAGGGGCGGACTGACAACTCATGGGGCTCCCGGGCAATAGGGGATCATGGGGCCCCTGTGTCCTCGACCACACCCAAAAAAGCCTATGAAAAAGCCAATGAAAGGTACCAGGGGCATCTCATGGGGCCCCCTACTGACCCCAGGCCCTGGGACAGTGCCCAAGTGCTCAAATGGTCAGTCCGCTCCTGGCTGCAATATATAAAATTCTGATTTAATCTTTGAGTTTAGATATGCTGTAGGAGATGAGTCCATTTCTGGTCAATTACCGGGTATTTTTCTGTATCTCCATGGTTGATGGTAGATGAGATGTACTGCAAATTTTGTTTTATTTTGCTTTTGTATGTGGTTTAAAAATGAATGCAGTTTGTGGGTCCTTTTGCACACATTTCTGCTCTGATTCTCAGCATCTTATCCTTTTCCCTCCCAGGCCTATGTGAACATGGCGCTGTTTGAAAATTTCACCTACGCCGGAATCGATGCCACAGCAGAAGAGGCGTAGTACCTGGATGAGAGGGACCTGTATGGTCTCTGTGCTTTGCTTGCCGGAAATCAGGACTTATTGTACTTAATGTACAAGGACTTGTTTACTGTGAGGTGGACTGCAAAGCCCCTGGCCGGATCACAGGCTTGTGTTGGAACCTCTCTTGATGCGTACGCAACGTGCATAAATGTAGCTCTGTGCTTCAACACGGTTGTCTATAAAAAGATGGTATGACTGGACGTGTATGATAAGAATGAACTCCCTTCCTCTTCCGATGTACAGCTGAACACTGCCACTGCCCAGAATGAGAACTGAGTGTCCCAGAATGTTTCTTCCCTTTCCTTGTACAGTTACTGTATTTACACCAATAAACCTCAGATATGATTTGTATCCATTGTTTGATGGATCTGTGTCCAACGTGGAACTCCCAAGACCCCGGGGGGGGGGGGGGGGGGGGGCTGTGCAGGTCTAAAAAATCTCTGTTTAGTTCAGAAGCCATGTTGTGTTCGGCATATGATAGGCTTTTGGTCATGTCCTGCCTCGCCGCTGGCTATCCCCCGCTTCAGTCGATCCTGAATACGGCTGCCAGACTCATCCACCTTTCCAACCGCTCCGTCTCCGCCACCCCCCTCTGCCAATCCCTCCACTGGCTTCCGATTGCGCAACGGATCAAATTCAAAATCCTAACACTAACATACAAAGCTGTCCACCATACTGCCCCGAACTACATCACCGACCTAATATCCAAGTACTGCCCAACACGCACACTCCGCTCCTCACAAGACCTCCTTCTCTCTAGTTCCCTGGTCTCCTCCTCCCATGCCCGCCTCCAGGACTTCTCCAGGGTGTCACCCATCCTCTGGAACTCCCTGCCCCAACCCATCAGATTATCACCTACTCTCCTCTCCTTTAGGCGCACCCTGAAAAACCCATCTCTTCAGGGAAGCCTACCCCACCCCCTGCTAACTTGCCGACCTCCTCCACTCTTCCTACCACTCCATCCCCCACAGCTATCTCCTCCTGTACCACCATCCCCTCCCTCCTACATTGTAAGCTCGAAAGAGCAGGGCCCTCAATCCCCTCATGTTTTGCATTGTATTGGTATTGTTCTGTCACATGTTCTGTCCCCCTTTGTAATGTACAGCGCTGAGCGAACTATTGGCACTTTATAAATACTGTATAAATAATAATAATAATAATGTCACCCCTATGCAGATCTACAAAACCTCTGTTTATTTCAGAAGCCACGTTGAGTACAGCACATGGTAGTCTTTTGGTCACGTCATCCCTGTGCAGGTCTACAAACCTGTGTTTATTTCAGAAGCCATGTTGAGTACGGCACGATAGTTGTTTGGTCACGTCACCCATGTGTGGGGTCTACAAACCTCTGTTTAGTTTAGAAGCCACGTTGAGCATTGCACATGATAGTCTTTTGGTCATGTCATCCCTTTTCAGGTCTGCATACCTCTGTTTAGTTCAGAAGCCAAGTTGAGTATTGCACATGATAGTGTTTTGACCACGTCACCCCTGTGCAAGCCTACAACATATGTATTTAGTTCAGAAGCCATGTTGAGTATGACACATGATAGTTTTTTGGCCACGTCACCCCTTTTCAGGTCTACAAACCTCTCTTTAGTTCAGAAGCCACGTTGAGTACGACACATGATAAACTTTTGGTCACGTCACCCCTTTGCAGTTCTACAAACCTTTGTTCAGTTTAGAAGCCATTTTGAGTACTGCATGTAATAGTCTTTTGGTCATATCATCCTTTTCAGGTCTGCATACCTCTGTTTAGTTCAGAAGCCATGATAAGTATTGCACATGATAGTGTTTTGGCCATGTCACCCCTCTGCAGGTCTACAAATCTCTGTTTAGTTCAGAAGCCATGTTGAGTAGTGCACTTGATAGTCTTTTGTTCATGTCACCCCTTTTCAGGTCTACAAACCTCTGTTTAGTTCAGAAGCCATTTTGAGTATTGCACATGATAGTGTTTTGGCCATGTCACCCCTATGCAGGTCTACAAATCTCTGTTTAGTTCAGAAGCCATGTTGTAGTAACGGCAATACTGCACATGATAGTTTTTTGATCATGTCACCTCTGTTCAGGCCTACAAAATATGTGTTTAGTTCAGAAGCCATGTTGAGTACAGCACATGATAGTGTTTTGGCCATGTCACCCCTGTGCAGGTCTACAAATCTCTGTTTAGTTCAGAAGCCATGTTGAGTACGGCACATGATAGTCTGTTGGTCATGTCTTCCCCATGCAGGCCTACAAAATGTCTTTTTAGATCAGAAGCCACGTTGAGTACGGCACATGATAGTCTTTTTGTCACATCACCCCTTTGCAGTTCTACAAACCTCTGTTCAGTTTAGAAGCCACGTTGAGTGGTGCACTTGATAGTCTTTTGTTCATGTCACCCCTTTTCAGGTCTACAAACCTCTGTTTAGTTCAGAAGCCATGTTAAGTATTGCACATGATAGTGTTTTGGCCATGTCACCCCTATGCAGGTCTACAAATCTCTGTTTAGTTCAGAAGCCATGTTGAGTATGACACATGATAGTTTTTTTGCCACGTCACACCTTTTCAGGTCTACAAACCTCTCTTTAGTTCAGAAGCCACGTTGAGTACGGCACATGAGAGTGTTTTGGTCACGTCACTCCTGTGCAGGTCTACAAATCTCTGTTTAGTTTCAGAAGCCATGTTGAGTACTTTTTTAGCACATGATAGTCTGTTGGTCATGTCTTCCCCCCGTGCAGGCCTACAAAATGTCTTTTTTAGATCAGATGCCACGTTTAGTACGGCACATGATAGTCTTTTTGTCACATCACCCCTTTGCAGTTCTACAAACCTCTGTTCAGTTTAGAAGCCATGTTGAGTGGTGCACTTGATAGTCTTTTGTTCATGTCACCCCTTTTCAGGTCTACAAACCTCTGTTTAGTCCAGAAGCCATTTTGAGTATTGCACATGATAGTCTTTTACTCACATCACCCTTTTCAGGCATACAAAACCTCTGTATAGTTCAGAAGCCAAATCAAACGTGCTACCAAAAAAAAGTAAGGCAAAGAAAAAACATAAAAAAAAACTGGCAGCAGCAGCTGTTGTCATGTTTCCCATACCAAAGGACTCAGTGGAAACAAAGAGTCACTATAGTTAATCTAAATCTATCTCTATCCCGAGCAATACAAACTGAGTATGCAAAAGCAAAGGACATTTTCATAGAAACCCACAACATGTGTCAGGGGTCTGTGTCCCCTTTGCAATTTCACCACTACTTCCTGCCCTGGTGATGGGCACATAAAGAAAAAGACTGGAATCTCTGGAAAGTTGTTATTGTTGTCTTTGCTTTCCTAACCTGTAACCTTGACTCTTTTATTTCTTGTCCTGTTGTCACTCAGGCAGGGGAGGACTGACAACTCATGGGGCCCCCGGGCAATAGGAGATCATGGGGCCCCTGTGTCCTTGCCCAAACTCAAAAAAGCCTATGAAAAAGGTACCAGGGGCATCTCATGGGGCCCCCTACTGACCCTAGGGCCCTCGGGCAGTGCCTGCATTTCCAAATGGTCAGTCCGCCCCTGCACTCAGGTGATCTCCCCAGGGATAAATAAATAGGTGAACCTATGCCCTAAAGGTGCGCACCAAAGTATTTGGATATTAAGAAAAATCTGTAAAAGACCTTTAAAAGAAGCTCTCACTCATCTCTGTAGCTATAGGCGTCGTGGAGGATTTCATCCTCAAAATTCCCTACAGAGCCAAAGAGCTCCTTTCACCTTATTTTCTATGGACAGCAGGATTTTGGCAGCCCCTCCAATGTAAACACACAGCAGGTGCCAACTCTAGGGACTTTGTTTTGACCCCTGAGGATCTTTAAGGATGAATTACTTCACAGTACAAGCAGCTAGAGATGTCAGTGATGGCTTATTTTAAAGCTCTTACACTGCTTGTTAAGAACATGTCAATAAATTTAATGTCCATAGGCTGGGCACAGGTACAGTTCAAACACCACCTTTGGGCAGATGCTGCCCTCCAAGCCCATGCCTTTATGGCCATTGGCTTTTTTTTTTTTTAAACAAATATACCCTACTAGCACTGCAAACCGCAGGACATTTATTGGCCACCAAAAATGCTTTGTGTGTAGGCAGGAATATTTCATATTTTGTACTATAAACAAGGGGCCGCACACCAGTTACAAAAATCTGACAAGTTTATGAATGGACAGAACACATTGCATCCTCCCACCTTAGGTCCTGGGTGCAGCCCATGTGTTAGGGTTTGAACCACAGAGTGAAGGTACGAGATCTTTGGGAGATCTTATAACATTTTGCAATATATCTCTGATGGCACCTTCAGCCTGCAGAACCACTTTAGCTCTCTGGACAACTTTAATTTAAATTGTCATTTTATTGCGGCTTGTTTACTTTCTGTTTAAGCTTTTTTGTCTGGTCCTGCCCCCCCCCCATTGCCACTCTCACCTAGGATGTCCGTTCAGCCTCCTGGGATATTCCTACCTTCCTGAAGGGTCAAGGATTCACAATGGCCAGTAGGCAGAACTGGTATGTTTCACTTCACTGCATGAACCGGTAAAGGCAACCCGTTTCTGATGACTGAGGAGGACCAGTATGGTGGCATTGGAACCAGGCTTTGACATCTGAGTGGTGGATTGCACCGATTGTACAGTGCTTGATCTGCTGAACAGGTGAATGCCTAAATCGAGGACAATCCATCATAACAGGTAATGAGGGGATAGAAAAAAAAAAACAGAGGGGAGAGTGAAGTTCCTCTTTAGGTACCTGGAATTATTTATGGTCTAGGTTAAACGTTTGTGGACATTCCAACTGAGCCCCCAGCAAATGACCATTAACAGTGCCTCTTCCAGGATCCGGGGCGGTTGATCCAGCCCAGCCTATGTTATCACCACTCCTTGTCATGACATCATCATGCTACTGCAGTCTTCTGGAGCCTGAATGGGACAGCCAACGAGAACAGCCCACATCACCAAGGCAGTGACATGGGCACCAGAA